GTGTCGCGCAGTACAACGAGGAAACCAATGACGAGGCGCGATTGCTGGAGCTGGAGTTATCGCAGGAAAAGCGCGAGTTAGCAGCAATCAAGCTGGCTGCAATGAAAGAGCAAGTAGCCAAGTACCACAACGCCAAGCTGATTCCGCACAAGCTGATCCCGGAGACCAAGTACTGCGCCGGAACTTCCGTCCCGATCCCAAACACGGGAAGCTCGCCTCGGTATGGGAAGGTCCCTACCTAACTCGCGAGGTGGTTGGTGCCAACACCTTCAAACTCAGTGAACTGGGGGGCAATAAGATACAAAGAACGTGGAACGCACAAAATCTCCGGAAGTATCACCAAGCAACTTAGCATGTATTTTACTCACGCCACGGCGTCTTGTCTCAAAGGAATGAAAGCACTATTCGCGACCATCTAGTTCGCAAGAACAAAAAATTAGCAATAGTCCAGCACTATTCGCGCCCATCTAGTTCGCAAGAACAAAAAATTAGCAATAGTCCAGCACTATTCGCGCCCATCTAGTTCGCAAGAACAAACAACTAGCAATAGTCTAGCACTATTCGCGCACATTTAGTTCGCAAGAACAAAACTAGCAATAGTCCAGCGCTATTCGCGCCCATCTAGTTCGCAAAAATAAAAAATTAGCAACAGTCCAACACTATTCGCGCACGTCCGGCATTAGCCACGATCACACAATCCCAAGGAACAAACACACGCAGTGAATTAACACTCTTTGGATTCAATAAGGCGGGAGCAACAAGTCGCAACTACACTTCAGCACAACAATGCAAATAGGAAACAGTTCAGCACAAAATAATCAAACGCTCTAGCCCTCTTTACGCTGCTTGCGACGCAACAGAGGCTCATCGTCTTCCTCGTCGTCATCATCAACTCGCTCAGCGCCCCTATCCGCGCCTTCAGCCTTCCCCCCAGCTTGGCCCTCTTCCCCATCCGGGCGCTCATCCTCCTCCTCATCTTCCTCTTCATCATCCTCACCCCCGACTAGGAGTCGGACTCCAGGGGACGGTTCTCACCAATCCACGTCTGCACGTGGCGCACCATTTCGCGCGTGTCCCAACGGAGTTCCGGGTTCTCCGGGCGCACCTTCTTCCCGACAGCTTCCGCCTTCGCGATGTTATGGAGACGGACCAAGTCGTCCTTCTCCTTTTGATGCTCTTCGCGAGCTTGCTTCAGTTTCTCATCAAAGGATGCCTCCAGTTGACTCCGGATGGATGAGCGCTCCTCAGCTCGCACTTGCTCCTTCGCGGCCAACACATCGGCGGCCAGCCTACTCTGCAGGAGGCCAAGTTCCTCCATTGCCTCATTGGCTTTGTTGGTGGCCACGTCGGCACGGTTGTTCGCGCCAACAACCTTGCCCTCCAGCTGGACAATCTTGGCCTCATCGTCCTTTATCCTCGCGCGCTGCAGCGCGCGCTCCTTCTGAGCGCGGTAGGTGGCCGACAAACCCTACAACGCTCACAGACTTAGCAAAACAGATGCATAAAATAAAGAATTAGACGCGGCAAAACTCAAGCTCGGCCTTACCGCGAAATGAATCTGAGCCAAATCGTGCAATGAGTCAGACTTCTCCACCCTGGGCGGAACACTTAGCACGGGCCCAAGCGCCCGAAGTGCAGTGTTGGCGGCCACGAGATTGCAGGCCGCCAACGTATGAATCCGCACGTCGCGGAAGTAGTTGACCGCCGCAGCGCCGGCAGTGGGCTGAACGGTGGCACTAGAGGAGCTCCCAACCTTGTCTCCCCTCTCCCTCTCAGACCGAGAGGGCCTACTCACCGCCTCCTCCGACTGTGAGAGCGCCAAAGCCAACTCCCGCGCGACAGATAGCGTCGCGTCCCCATGTGCAGCCTGCGCATCCTGCGCCACTCGCGCGCTCGCTTCCCCAACGCGAGCAGCCTTATGTGGCGGCTCAACCGCCGCTCGCGGCTGCTCAATCCCCTTTCGCTTCGCGCCTCTCGGCGCCGCACCTTCCTTTTCCTTCTTCTTGTCGCCGCGTGGCGCGACGTCGTCGACCGACATCAAGTTGACGAGACTGGAGAAGTCAACACCTGCGCCAATAAGTCGTAAGAAAGCGGTTAATATGACAAGAATGCAAAAGAAAAGAAATACAACTAACCGTCGGCGAACAGCTCCTGCAAACAAGCCTCGCGCACTCCCGTGTCGTATAAGTTGATCTTATGATCCATGCACGCCTCATAGTCATCGTCCAGCCCGTCGTAGGCACCGACGTCTGACTCGTACCCGTGCGTGCTGCCGTTCTTCCACTCAGTGGGCTCCTCAACAAACTCACTCGCCCATTCTCCAGGAACGGGCTTGACGTAGAAAAAACGATCGAACCAAGTCTTCTTCAGCTTGGGCGACCCGTACACGAAGCCCTCCGGCCTCTTGTCGCGACGCTTAATGGACAGGCAGTCGCTCCGCGTGGTTGGCTCCTTGATCTTATATATTTTCCGAAAGAGGCCATAAATCGGCTCGATATTGAGCCGCTTGCACACGAGTCGGAGACAACTCGCGTGCATGATGACGGATGGAGAGAGCCGCCCAATGGAGCATCTGAGGCGCCTATACAGAGCGCACAAGAGCGGGTCGATGAGGAACTTAAACCCCATCACCCAGTACTCCGTGTACACGCCAAACCAACCCGCGGGGCAATGACCCACCATGCTGCGCGTCGACGGAGCAGCGTACTGCCAGTGGGGGGGCAAGCCTAGCTCGCGCACTATCTCCTCCACATCGCCAACATCATATATGGAGGCGTGTTCGGGACCGCGCTTGAGGTTGTCGTGCGGCGCGGGTTGATCGCCCCACATCTCGGCCCACTCGATAACATTGTACGCGGCGCCAACACCGCGTAATCCGAGCCGAGCCATAGCCTCGGAGACGCGCACATTATAGTCCGGCTCTAACTGCGCGTCAGAGTCTTCGCGCATTTCTCCACCACCTTCCAACGGCCTCCCATCACGGCCGCGGCGGATTATCAGCACCCCACTAGCCCCTTGTCTCGCCTGCCCGCTCCCGGAGGCACCCATACCTTCTTCAGGAGAACCACCGAGATCGTCCTCCGATCTGATGTCGAACGACGGCGTCTCCGGAACCCCATCGCCGCCGTTCCCATCGCCGGAACCGTCGTTTAATTCCATCGAATGATCAGTAGAAGTGTGCGAAAGAGTCGAAAGATTACCTTCTTCGCCTTGTACGACCTCAGCCTCGTTGATGTTGATGCCAGCCATGATAATAACTTGATCCAGCAACAAAGAAAGGAGTATCGAGGTTGTAAAAGAAGGAGAGGAATCTCAGAGAACGAAGAACAGAGAAACGATAAGCAAGAAACGATGAACAGAAGTTGTGAAAACAGATGAGCCAACCCTCCAATAAGAAACCCATATTTATACGCAGCCAAAGGAAAACGAAGGGTTAAAGCTGCATAGGGATTCGTAACCGTCAAATCCTACAAAATCTTTTCGAATTCTTTCGAATTTCAAGAAATCCCCGCCCAAAATAGCCCAATCAACCAGGGACACGTGGACACCTACCATCATAGACAATAGTCGGCGACGCCACATGTGCCGCGCACCGCCTAGGGGGCATGGCACACCCGCGAAGAAGAAAAAACAACACCACTTACGGGCGCGCCTCAAAGTCGCGCGCACCGCCTGGGGGGCATGGCACACACGCGAGGAAGAAAAAACAACACCACTTACGGGCGCGCCTCAAAGTCGCACGCGCAACAGGGGGGCATGACACACCAACTTCGACCGAGCGCACAAACAAAACAAATGGATAACACCCGCGACGCACGAGACACGCACCAGAAACGCAAAAGGAGATGGAAGCGCCCAGATCCGAGTCAACCACACGAAGGTCAAACAGGTGGCATTCGCGGAATACCACCTGATGGGGGGCAATTGTTGGGCATGCGACTCGGATCCTTCCCCACTGAAGAAACACCAAGGATAATCACGCCAAAGAGGAGCGCGCAAGTACACCGGTGTGAAGCGCGCCAAAGTCAAGAGCGCGAGTCGTGCCGTAACCAAGCGCGCTGATAGAGATCACCCCCGGAGAAGCGCGCGCGAATACTAAACGACGACGCATCACCCGGGCGTGGGCCCTTATCGAGAAGCCGCAGAAGCGGCGCCGCGTCACCGCGTATAGTCCTAGGTATAGCCCTGCTTGTGTCAGGAGTAGTCACATCAGTGCCCTAAGTAGTCACATCAGTGTCCTAAAAGCATGGACTAAATCTCTGTCATGTCAGCGGTCATGTCATTGTGTCCACTTGTAACTCAACCACTCACCCACCACCATGTAGCCTATAAATATGGCATTTACTCCGGTGGGTGAGGGGATGAGATTTTTCGACTCTATCTCTAAAATCATCGACTTCTCTCTCTAGAACACTTCTCCCTTAATCTTTCCTGTAATCTCCTCCGTTCTCCCAGTATCGATTAATCCCCTTCTGCTTACTCTCCTTGACCCATTTTCCCGAGTCTCCCTCCTACACCCAGTTAGGCTCAAACAGTATTATTACCACTTTTAGAGTTGAGTCCACTGAAAGCGCCCAAAAAAGTGAGTGCACCGAAGTAGCCACCATATATATAATTATATATATGGTTTGTCCTTGGTGTAGTCACTTTTTTTTATACATGATATGCTCCCACCTCATAATCGTCATTATGAGCAGACGATTCAGGTCAAAACAATGTCAATGGTCACTTGTGCCATGATGGACAAGAATAGCGGCGGATCCAAGGGGCTGCCCCGGGCCACGACCCAGCCCTTCCCTGAATCAAGAGCTAGTATAACTCTTGTAAATTTTTTATTTTTGCCGTTAGTTTCGATGCTCGTTGAGTTACGGCCCAATCCTCTTCGCCTCTTTTCAAATGTGGCCCAGTGTACAGTGGCGTAGCCAGGATTTCGTTTAAGGTGGGTCCACTTAGAAGAAAAATACACATTATAAAATAGTTTTTGTTAACTTTGCTAATCATTCATGATATAATTTATATTGAAATTTTTTGGTAAATTAACATAAGTTAGTAGTCGAAACTATTATATTTATCACCCTGTGTACCAAACAATTTTTAATGATTTAGTTAGTCGTTCTCTTCGAATGGCGTTCTTTGTCAATAACTGTTTAGTATCAACCACTCGAGTTGTTGAGAGAAGTATAATAAAGAATGTTACGCAAAATAATAATTCATGATTTAATTAATCTTTCGTTTTCAAATAATGTTCATTGTTAAGAATAGTTTAATACCAATAAACCGAGTTGGTGGATGTTGCACAAACCGAAATACCATGTGCTTAAGAAATGATGTCGCAAAGATTCAAACACAACACGTTTCGATAAACTATTCTCAATAAGACGCCCCCTAATTTTTTGCATCGACTAACTATTGTACCTAATTTAACCATATTCCATCCGACCCAAGGTGGGTCATGGAACTCACTCTCTTATGCTCTCCCTCCGCCACTGTCAGTGCTCTATACTATCATAGATTCGTCGTTGGCCAAGAATACACATGAACTTGCACAAAAAAAAAAAATATTCAGGATTTACTTTGATTGGAAGAATTTAGGCTTATATATTTAGGGCTAGGTTTAAAACTACAAGTTTGGAGTTTAGTATAATGCACTCATTAGTTGTGTTGTTATACTGTATCATCATATTACATACTAGACTAATTAGATAAATTAAAAAAATTGAAAGTTCAATGTCTTAGGTTAATTTTAAGAATTTAGTGTATGGTATTACTATTTTTGTGGATGCACAGTAGAAGAGAGTATATATATATATAGTGGCGTCTTCGGTGCACCCACTTTTTTGGGTGCATTCAGTGCACTCACTTCAAAACCGTCATTTTAAACATGCGATTCATGTCAAAATGATGTCAATTATCACTTACGATGTGATGAACAATAACGCACATGAATTTGCACAAAAACCATTGAAGATTTACTTTAATTTGAAGGATTTAGAGTTTAGAGATTTAGGGTTAGGGTTTGCAATTTGGGGTTTAGGGATAGAAGTCAAAATTGGAGGTCAAGGGCTTAGGGTAATCCGCTAATTAGTTGTTATCCTATGTTATATATTAAGGAACAATTCAAATGAATTGATTCCCCCGCTTTCTGAACAGAAGAAGAAGGCGAGCAGAACTTGGAGCGACGTCGTGTCAGGCGCAACTTGAAGGACAGAGCGGAACGACGGCGTCCCATGACAAACAAAACGGAGACATGGAACGACAACGTTTCAAGACCAACTTGTCAAATTTCTTTTTCACTCCAAATGTTATGTTCTTAGACACTTTTCCATTTATGTCTTGTACTTACTTCTGATGCAAGGTTGTCTTGTTCTACAACTTTGATACAGCTATATAAGCTGCCAAAACTAATGAGAGAAATTAGGTTTTTCAGTTCTCACTACCACAAATTGTTGTTATGGTATCAGAGCTTTGGTGCTGGAAACCCTAGCCGCCTCCAGCCTCCATGGCTCAAAACGAAGATGCAGCAGCTGCAGGAGCCTCTACTGCCGCCAGCCTTGACCCAATGGCAGATCCTTTCTACCTCCATGGATCTGAACAACCATGGCTTGTCCTTGTTGCAGAGAATATCACTCCAACCAATTACAACGATTGGAGTAAAGCAATGTACAACGCACTTGGAGCCAAAAACAAGCTTGGCTTCATCAATGACACACTTGCTGAACCAGAAGCAACTCACCCTATAGCCTGGGCCTGGGCACGCAACAACATCATGGTGCTCTATTGGATCCAACAAGCAGTTGATCCTGGTATCAGGAAGACTATCATGTCCACTCGCAAGGCTTCTGAAGCTTGGACAAGCCTCAGAGCTCGTTATGGACAAGGGGACATGATCAGAGTTGTTGAACTCATTGAGTCACAGGCCACTCTCAAACAAGGTAACAGATCTGTTACTGAATACTATGGTGACTTAATAGCTCAGCGAGATGAACTTGATAATTACCAGCCACTAGATCTCTGTGTTTGCACCCCTACTAGCCACACTCAGTGTAGGGAAATGCAACAAGTTCTTGTCTACAGAGACACTAACTATGTGATTCAATTCTTAAGAGGTCTTAATGACAACTACAACATTGTGAGGTCTCAGGTTCTGTTTGGAGACACTCTACCCTCCATAGATAGGGTCTTTCAAAGAGTTCTCCAACATGATCGCCAACTTTATGGCACCTCCAACAACAAAGCTAACCCCTCTGACCCCATGGCTTTAGCATCTACAACCATACCTGGCAGCAAGAAACCCAAACCTTTCTGCACATACTGCAAAGCTCAGGGACACACAGATGACATCTGTTTTCACAAACATGGTTGGCCCCAAGGAATGACTTCCAAAGGAACCAACTCCTCTGGTAAATCCTTGGAATGTACCTACTGCAAAAAGCTTGGTCACACTGAAGACAAGTGCTTCTCCAAACATGGATATCCACCTAGTTCTACTACAACAGGTCGAGCCAACAACAATAGACCTCGACCTTCTGCCAATGCAACTTCCACCACTGATGCACCACAAGAGGAATTCAAACTTACCAAGGATGACTATGACAGACTCATGAAGCTAATGACATCCACTTCTCAGCAATCCACCGGTTCTAGCTTCTCAGGTGGAACATTTTGTTCCAACCCACCTCAGCCTTCAGGTAAATATTCCCTAAGCAATCAAGTAACATCACCCTACAATGAGACATGGATACTTGACACAGGGGCATCAGACCACATTGTCTGCTCCCTCAATCATCTAATCAACCACAGACCTATAAATGCTGTTTACATCACCTTCCCAACAGGAAAACAAGTTCAATCTACTCATGTTGGGACAGTACATTACATTGCTGGTCTCATTCTTGAGGAAGTCTTATTTGTCCCTCAGTTCATTTTCAATCTTGTGTCAGTAAGCAAACTGACCAAGAACAAGCCTCTATGTTTAACATTCTTCTCTGATGTATGTTTGATTCAGGACATGCAGCTGAGGAAGATGACTGGTTCTGCTAAGCTTTTTCATGGCCTTTACCTAATTGACAACCCACCTATAGACAGTCAACCAAACCACATCACAACAGCCACCACACAGAGTTTTGATCTTTGGCATTACAGACTAGGGCATGTTTTCCATTCCAAAGTCCCTATTTTGCAACAACTATGTACATCCATAGAAACTTATAGATCATTACCATGTGATGTATGCCATTTTGCTAAGCAAAAGAGGCTCCCTTTTCCTATCAGCTCAACTGTTTCTGTCAAACCTTTCCAGTTGATACATGTTGATATTTGGGGTCCAAATTCAATTCCTAGTCATGATGGGTTCAGATACTTCCTGACCATAGTTGATGATTACACTAGAATGACATGGATTATTCTTCTAACTGCCAAGTCAGAAGCAAGAACAAAACTACAAAGCTTCTGTACTTACACTGAAAGACAATTTGAAACACCAGTTAGAAGAATAAGGAGTGACCAAGGTCGAGAATTTCAAATGACAGATTTCTTTCAACAAACTGGCATTTTTCATGAACAATCTTGTGTGGAAACCCCTCAACAAAACATCAAAGTTGAGAGGAAACACCAACACATTTTAGCCATTGCCAGAGCCTTAATGTTTCAATCAAACCTACCTACTGATTTTTGGGGGGATTGTGTTAAGCATGCTGTTTATCTTATCAATAGTGTCCCTACCACTGTTCTAAACAACCTGACCCCCTATGAGAAACTACACAACAAACCCCCTGATCTCACAGAACTAAGGGTTTTTGGTTGTTTGTGTTTTGCCAGCACAATCACCAGTCACAGAACAAAATTTGATCCAAGAGCCAGAAAGGGAGTGTTCATTGGATTTACCCCAGGCATCAAAGGTTATAGGATTTATTACCTAACTACTCATGACATATTTACTTCTCGAGATGTCATTTTCCATGAACAACACTTCCCTTTCCAATCCTCACCATCATCATCCATTACAGACCACAATTCTCCTTTTCTCAACTCTTCCAATCCTGCTCACTTTGATGACCTCTCACCCTCCCCACACCCTGTTCCTACATTAACCCCCAACCCTCAACCTTCCCAATCCCAAACTGATTCTGACTCTGACTCAGACACTACACCTCCAAACCCTTCTCCCTCACCACAACCATCCCCTGCTCACTCTTCCCAATCTCCCCCTATCCCCCTTCCAGCCCCAACTCAACCAACCAGAAAATCTACCCATGTTATAAAACCCCCATCCAAACTACAATCCTACCACTGCAACCTCCTACAACAGCAGGCTTCCACCAATCATTCTTCCCCACTGCATAATCCAGGTATCTCTCATCCTCTGAGTAATGTTATTCACTATGATTCTCTCGAACCCTCTCACAGAAAATTTTTGCTCAGTATCTCATCTTACAAAGAGCCAGCTACCTACAAAGAAGCTGTCTTATCTCCTGAGTGGAATGCTGCTATGGAGATTGAAAAACAAGCTCTAGAGAAAAACCATACATGGGACATAGTGGAAAAACCAGAGGGTGTCACACTTGTCGGAAACAAATGGATATACAAGCAGAAGTTTCTTTCTACTGGCATCATTGAAAGGCACAAGGCTCGCCTTGTTGCTAAAGGATACACTCAACAAGAGGGTGTAGACTACCAAGATACTTTCGCCCCAGTAGTCAAAATGACCACCATTCGACTGTTCTTAGCCATTGCAGCCTCACAGAGATGGCACATCCATCAACTTGACATCAACAATGCTTTTTTACATGGGGAGTTAGAAGAAGATGTCTATATGAAACTCCCTGATGGTTACATAGCCCCTCCTGGTTTTACCACTCCAGTTTGCAAGCTAAGGAAGTCGCTTTATGGTTTAAAGCAAGCTTCCCGCCAGTGGTTTGCTAAACTTGCAGAAAAGTTAAAACTACAAGGTTACATCCCTAGCCAGGTAGACCACTCCCTATTCTACAAAGCAACATCAACTTCCTACACCTGTGTTCTTGTCTATGTAGATGATCTTGTGGTGGGAGGCACTGACATCAATGAAATCACAAGTTTGAAATTATTTCTACACCAGCAATTCAGCATCAAAGATATGGGGGAACTACACTTCTTTCTTGGCATTGAAGTTGCTAGAACAAAATCTGGGATTCACATTTCTCAAAGGAAATACACCTTAGAGATAATTGAAGATGCAGACCTGCTTCACACTAAGCCAGTCAGCACTCCAATGGATTACAAATCACATCTCTCAGCCTCTACTGATGAACCCTACCCTAATCCAGAACATTACAGACACCTTGTTGGCAAGCTGATCTACCTCACTACTACCAGACCTGACATCAGCTTCGCCACCCAACAAGTAAGCCAATTCATGTCAAACCCTACAATTTCTCACTACAAGGCAGTTACAAGGATTCTTCGTTACCTGAAGCATGCCCCATCCACCGGTCTTCTGTTCTCTTCATCCTCTTCACTCCAATTGCAAGCCTTCAGTGACTCCGACTGGGCTGCCTGTGTCGACTCCCGACGCTCCATCACTGGCTACTGTGTCTACCTTGGCTCCTCTCTTGTCTCGTGGAAGAGCCAGAAACAAACCATCGTTTCTCGCTCATCTTGTGAAGCTGAGTACCGAGCTCTTGCCTACACCTCTTGTGAGGTCCAATGGTTGCTATATCTCCTCCATGACTTCCGTATTCCACACCCACAACCAGTCTCCCTCTATTGCGACAATCAGTCTGCAATTTACATTGCCCAGAACCCGACATTCCATGAGTGCACCAAGCACATTGAGCTTGATTGCCATTTCATCCGGGACAAAATCCAGGCGAAAACCATCAAGCTTCTTCACATCTCCACGGTTCACCAGCTCGCCAACCTCTTCACCAAGCCCTTGCCACCGGCGACCTTTGCTTTTCTCCTCTCCAAGCTCGGTGTCCATGAACTCTGCCCACCAGCTTGCCCGGGGGGGGGGGGGGGGTATCAGGGAACAATTCAAATGAATTGATTCCCCCGCTTTCTGAACAGAAGAAGAAGGCGAGCAGAACTTGGAGCGACGTCGTGTCAGGCGCAACTTGAAGGACAGAGCGGAACGACGGCGTCCCATGACAAACAAAACGGAGACATGGAACGACAACGTTTCAAGACCAACTTGTCAAATTTCTTTTTCACTCCAAATGTTATGTTCTTAGACACTTTTCCATTTATGTCTTGTACTTGCTTCTGATGCAAGGTTGTCTTGTTCTACAACTTTGATACAGCTATATAAGCTGCCAAAACTAATGAGAGAAATTAGGTTTTCAGTTCTCACTACCACAAATTGTTGTTATTATATCATCATGTTACACTAATTCTACAATTTAAAATTTAAAATTCGACACCTTAAGACCAATTTTTGAGTTGGGTGCATTGAACGCACTTTTTGTGAGTGCACCAAAATAGTATATATTCACTTCAACATTAGTCCGATATTAGTTTCATTGTTTGAACACATTCAGGTGAAATGCTGATCTACAGGCAAATGCACATGAAACGGAAATCAAGAGAAATACAATCATTCATTCATTCGTTCTGGCTACATAAACTACTAATTAACTATTACCCACGTCGTAAACACCAAGAGCTTGTGGGAGATGTTCCCATCAGAGGATCCACACGGCCGGCGGAGACAAACATGAGTTGTTCTAGGCGACTTCCAGTTTCCATGTCCGTCCAAAGTTTTTGCCAAGTAATTGGCCCTAGCTAGTGTTGACTCTTTGGCCCAACCAAAACAACAACAAAAATCAAAACCCTAATCAATTGTGAGTTACATAATAATAACAACCGTTGAATAAAGAGAGTGTCACCACATGGCCACAAATCACAGCTCATATCTACGTGAGAACGAGAGAGAGAGAGAGAAGAAGAACATGTGGATGGATGGAATCTATGGATCCTCTCCCAACATCATCGTCGTGATTGATGCATGACCGGACCGGACCGGCCAGTATATTTTTCAGGCAGCTAGCTATAGCATGTGTAACCGACGGCTGGGATTGCTGTAGGGTCGATGAGTTGTCTAGTCTGATGTGAAGATACAGCATGTACATGGAGGGAAAAAAGGTCGAGAAGATAATATAAACATAATCATCGTTATGTGTAAGAAGATTAGGGTTTGTGTCCATTGGATTGAGACTTGTTTCTTGTTGATATTTGATAGTAGTGTCGATTGATTGTTGGCATCCATTGCATTCGAGCCATGGGAAATGGTAGGAATGGCAATGGGGCAGGTCCGGGGCGTGTTTCTTGATACCCAGACCCGTCCCGTGGCAGGTCGGGTTCAGGTCGGGTAATTTATCACGGGTCACGGGTCGGGGCAGGTTGACCCAATGGGTATGCAATTTATATGAAAAATATTAGAAATATTCGTTGTTTTTATTATAAGACCAAGGAAACAAACAATATTATGAGAAATATAGTTAAATTATTGGAGAAATTGAGGTTTTCACTAATTTACGTCTTTATTATAACTAAGATTTGATGTAATAAAAGAGAAATCCTAAGTAATTTGACTAAAATTACGTGTAATTTAGGCAAGAACGGGTCGAGAATGGGGCGGGTCAGGACAGGTCGGGTCGATGAGAGTACCCATGCCCGCCCCGCCCCGCCTACGGGGCGGGTCGGACCCACCCCAAAACAGATCAAACAGGTCGGGTAAAACGGGTCAGGTCAAAATTGCCATCCTAGAAAATGGGTTTGTGTTTGTGGGTATGTTCCATGCATGTATTAGTGCAAAGATTTTGCCTGTTTCTATGTACGAGGAGGATCTGGAAGAAGTTTAATTAACGTGATTCCTCTTACCATATTCATTCTCTGAAGTCTCGAGGGCAGCGGTGATAACTTGATTAGTTTATAACATGCAGTTAATCTTACTTAGGTAAATGAAATGGAAGTTGCAGCCTAGGACTAGGAGAGGCGACAAGTAAAGACATGAAGGGTAAAAGAGGGGATGCACATGAGCCATTTTTGTTGAGATATTAAAGAATGGAAAATTCTTAGCTCCAACTTTGTTTTGACGTATAGAAGTTTCAACCATCTATATATAAGTTTGTTATTGGTGGACTCACTTATTTTTTTTCTCTTAATATTTAATGTTTTTATTTATCCTAAATAAATTAAAAATTAAAATATAAAAAGAAAGATCAACTCACCAATAGAAAACTGACATGTGGCTTGTTGCAGTTTTTACATTCAACCAAGATTGGAGCTAAGAATTTTCCTTAAGGAATTACTATATTGGATAGATGGATCAAATCCAAATACGAAAGAACTTGGCATGCACTGGTAGCTAGGCTAGCTGTGTATAGGGATGGGATATTGGTTTGGTTTGGGTTAAAAATCAATTTTATCAACTCGCTTAACTAAAATTATTAGGAGATATTATAAGAAGTAAATTTTATTCCATTACTAATGGAAAATGGAAATATTTTTTTGTTGTCGTGAAAATGGAAAGATTTTTTTTTTACCTACTGTATCGCGGAACACTGAATTTCTAGTAGCTACCGTGGCTACATCAGTATCCACCATTTATTTTCTTCTTTTTCCTCTTTTTTTAATCTTACGGTTAAGATTGCCTAGGATAATTTTGGAAGAAAAAAAAGGACCACACTTAATTATTCTATATATTCTACCCTAACCCTACTTCGCCCTCGTCTCCAGCACCGTCGCCCTCGTCAGCGCCACCCAGGCCGAGAAGAGGCCGCCCCAGACGGCGGAGCTGCCGCCGACGCGAGGCGCGTTCATCCGGCGTACCCGATGACTGCGCCTATGCGGAAAGCGTCGCCGATGTCGTCGAGGATGCGGTCCGGGCAGGCTCCCTAGATGTTCTCCGGCGTACCCGATGATAGCGCCTATGCCGAAAGCAGCCGCCGCCGCCGTTCGACAGCCCTATCCCGAGCCCGAACACTTCCAGCGCGGCGGCGGCGGCGGTGAAGATAACGCCTTCCTCTTCCATTACCTCGTTCATCAGATCGGCGTACCGCGCCAGGGTCGGCCGCTCCTGCACGGCCGCAGCCTCGTATGCGACCAGGTTCCGCAAAGCGACGTCGCAGTGAGGATTGGTATGTTTTTCTTTAAATGGTAGTCATTTTTTTCTCGTAGTGATTTTTTTTTAAAGGTAGTCATTTTTTCTCGTAGTGGTAGTGTTATTGTCGTATTGGTATTATTTTTGTCGCATTGGTATTATTTTTGTCGCATTGGTATTGATATTGTTACATTGGTATTGATTTTGTCGCATTGGTAGTGATTGCAATGGTATTGATGTTTTGTGAAATGGTAGTGTTTTTATTTCTTGAATGGTAGTTTTCGTGTAATGGCATAAATTTATTTCTGCAATGATAGTTTTCGTGTAATGGTATAGATTTATTTCTACAATGGTATTGATATTTTTCAAAGTGGTAGTGTTTGTCTAATGGATTGGTACTGATTTCGTTTTTTTTTTTTTTTTTTTTTTTTTGCAGAAAGATTGAGAAAAATATGGAAAGGGAATCTGGCTGGAGATTACGGAAGTGAGAGAAAGAGAGAGTTTTAATTAATAGATTTTTGTAACTACCTTAAATGTAATTTATTAAAAAATTAATTAATATAATTTATTTTTCCATATCCAATTTACCCTTAGTAACCACGGTGATTTGTAGTAATCACCGTAACCTGTCCCATTGTATCGCGGTGTGGTGTCGTAGAGTCGTGGAATAATGCTCAGAATGGACCTGAAAGAGCACTCATTCACAGGCCCAATTCCTGATCCCAATAAGAAAGAAAATCCCTGATGATATGATATATCAGCCAGCCCACGAACCCATTAGATCCAAACTCAAAATACATAATGCAAAAGTATATCAAAAGAAAGAAAATAGAACTGTAGAGTGTAGAAGAGAAGAGGAGGAGAATTAACGGGGGGAGAGAAAAGAAACTGCAGAGGAGACGGTGGAAGCTAGCGTGCTGGCTTGCCAGTGAGTTTGACAGACACGTGTCAGCATATGGGCCCAAGGAATCTCTGGGAATTATGAAGGAAGGACGCATCATGAGCATTGAGCACCCAAAGCAGCCGGTCTACTCTGCGTATAACTAGTTTTTGGATTTATTGTTTTAAGTAGGATTAGGCTTCTAAACACAAAAAAAAAAAAAAAAACTGGAGAGCTCAAATGGAAAGAGATATTTGTAGAGCTCAAATGGGCCAGGCCCAGAACAAAGAATTTAAATATTGGGAATTGCATATGTAGGCAAGGGAGGGAGAGCAGGCTTTTTTGTTGTTGTTATGAATCGGGCATGCAACGGGAAAGCAAAGGCGTCTAGCCTAGCCGGTCAGATGTCTTGTTTTGTTTTATTTGCACTCCACATTTTTTATTTTCATTATTTTGCATTTCCCAATCGGGCGCATTTCGTTGAAAAATTCCCTTTTTCCCCCTAACTTGATTTCTAATTCAAAATATCCGAAAAAAGATGAAGATCTTAGAATGGGTTGGACCATTAATTGGTTTTTTTTTTTTTGCCCCTGACCGACATAAGTTTCTTGACCTGGTTCGGTCCAACAACGAGCTGAATTAAATGGGTTGGACCAATTATTGTTCTCAATGTGTCGTGGAATGCTAATGATCCTGAATTTATCAATAACATTTATTGAATATCAATTTAATTAATTCGTGCTTCAATGTAAATTTACTAAGCGTAATTCAACAATTTCGTTTCATTAAGCATATACTGTCATTTCCAATTCTTCCCCAGCTTTGTTAATGTCATGTATTTGACCTTCTACTTTAAATGACATGTACGTTCTACTATTGATCCCTTCATCTCGTGGTTAAATGTAACGACTCGTGCATTTGTTAATTAACGAATGAGTCATTTGATACCAGATAACTCATACACAATTATGAACAAAACAATCATTTATTATTTTGTACGACCATTAAAATTAATGAGAACGCTAAAATTATTGTTGCGAATTAATAAGAATGATAATAATAAGATCTTTCATAGACAAAAATATATTGACAAGGAGGAGGAGTATAGGTCAGTCAGAGTCGCACGTGCTCCTGGGGACTCTCCCTAACCAGTCCTCTCCTCTCCCTCCCAAAATTCAATGCCTCTTTAATTTAATTTAATTAACCCTTTTTAGTTAACAATTTCCCTTCCTCCCACTTCTTCTCTTCGCTTCCTCTTCTTCCTCACTCACTCACCTCCATTACTTACACACACAACAACAGTTCCCCCCTCTGCAACCATTTGTCTCCTTCTTCCCTCCATTATCACTCTCTCTCTCTTCCCCCTCTCCATTTCTCTGCAAACCCATCAAAACCCATCTCCCCATTCCCCCAACAGGAACAACAACTCAACCTCCACGATGATGGACGCATCAGCAGCAGCACCACCCAAGGGAGGCGGGAAGGTAGGCGTCGGGGCCGCCGTCGTCGACGACGACATGGACGACGGAATGCAATGCAGCGACCACCCTTCTCGCACCAACCCCGGCGGGATCTGCGCCTTCTGCCTCCAGGAGAAGCTCGGCAAGCTGGTCTCCTCCTCTTTCCCGCTCTCAGTTCGCGCCTCCACTTCCTCCTCCTCTTCTCCCCCTTCCTTCAGATCTGATGCCGCCGCCGCCGCCGCCGTCCCATCAGCGGCAGCTTCCGCGGCCGCCACTTCACTCGCGCTGGCTGTGCGCCCGTCGAGTTCCTCATCATCCACCGCGTACGGGTGCGCACGAGGTGTTCGACGGAATGACGCAATGAGTAATGGTAATAATGGAAATAATAATGGTCAGTACGGCAGTAGTGAGTACTACAGCTCTTCCCTCCGCAAGGCGAGGATCCCGTTCCTGCTCGCGAAGAAGAAGAAGAAAATCATGGCTGCGTCGTCTTCATCTTCCGAGAATCAGAGCGAAGCGGTGTTCAAGCGCAGCAAGTCCACCGCTGCTCCGGGGAGAAGGTCCACCCATTTCTTCGACGACGGCGGGGAGGATTTCAGCCCTCGCAAGCGTGGTGGGTTTTGGTCCTTCCTCTACCATTCCTCCTCCAGCAATGTCAAATCCAACCTCAATCCTTCATCTGCTGCAAATCACAAGAGAATCGATCATCAGCAGCACAAGGTTTCCTCGCTTCCCGCCGCAGCAGCATCAGCTTCAGCTGCTGGTTCCAGCACGGCGCCGTTTAGCTCTGCTTCCTCTGTAAACCATCTTCCGCCTGTGCGGAAGGATAGATGTTTAGGAGTTGGGGGATCGTCTCTTTCGCGAAGAACAGAGATGGTAGTTGTGGAAGAAGACGACGAAAGCCCCAATAGCCAAGCTACGAGCTCAAACTCTGCTGCTTCATCGTTCGAGAGGAAAGTGTCTCGATCTAGATCCGTTGGGTGCGGGAGCAGGAGCTTCTCAGGGGATTTCTTCGAGAGAATCTCAACTGGATTCGGCGACTGCACGCTGAGAAGAGTCGAATCGCAGAGGGAAGGCAAACCGAAATCTTCAACATCTGGTGGAGCTATGAAGGAAAGGGTGAAGTGTGGCGGAATCTTTGGTGGGTTCATCATAACTTCATCATCTTCGTCCTCATCTTCATCATCGTACTGGGTTTCATCGTCAGCTGAGGAAATGAATGGGAAATCTGGCGGCAATCATTTGAGCCATGGAAGGACGAGGAGCTGGACCTGGGCATTTGCTAGCCCTATGAGGGCATTTGGAGGAAGCAACAAGCTGTCTGGTAAAGAGAATGGGAGGAGAGATCATCATCAGGTTATCAGGGAAACTGGGAATAGGAACTCTGCTGCTGCTGCTCCAAACTTGGCTGCCATTCCTTCATTGTTAACTGTGAGCAGCTAAAATTAAAAAAAGAGTGTGATTGAACGAATCTATTTCTTCTGTTTGCTTTCTGGGTCTATAATCTATATCACATCGCTACTACACAGTACATTTTCGGCTAAAGTAGTAATCTTTTTGTTCATTTCCTTATCAGTTTGCCCTTGATTTCTTGTTTGCTGCAATCTCTACAATGTTCAGTTTCCACTTCCACAAGTGTAGTTTCATAACACCAACCATTTCCTTCAAGAGTTCATGGATTGGATCATATATATCTAATTAGATTCCTATCTAGTCATATTTCTCAACAGTCGTTTGTTATGTCCTTTTAGATGCAAATTCCAACGAAAAGCAAAAACCCAGGTGAGTTGATTGCCTGAGGGAAGCTTGAGTGTGACCACTTGGGTTTAATTGCCTGGAGTTTGAGAGACAGAGAGAAGGAGAAAGCATTAGTGAGTCCTTTGACCAAGAATACTCTCTCTGTCTCATCATCTCTCTTCTTCCCTTGTTGTCTCTGTGAACGTGATGCAGAGATGCCTTTGCCAGCTTTAGTTCGGCTTGTATTTACTCCAATTTTCTTTAACATCTCTCTTGTGTAGTTGAGAGAGTTGTTTCAGCTTCAACAGCTCTGGTTTGTAATTTGTTTATTAGTTGTTCTTGTATTGTAATGCTAAAGGCCTAAAGGCAGAGTGATCATCGTGCAATGGCAAGTTTGTATTATCAGAAGCAACTCTCTCTCCCCCTCTCTGCAGAAGCTTTGGATCTCTCACATGGGCACACATGTCTGGTGATTGCTCTCTCTCTCTCTCTGTATAATAAACACTTGTTGCTGTGGGCATTAAATATACTGTGGATGGCGGTGAGGCAGTAGATTTATATCGAAAGCTTGAAGGAGGAATTGCTTCTTTTACTTGCGTTACCATCCATGATCCATCTCATCTTGACACCAATACCCATATGGTGAAAGACAATAAATTGTGAGCTACTACCCTACAAATTAGTGGTGGGGTTTGCGGGTACTCTGGTACTTGTCTCTTTTCTTACCAGTTTCTCGTTAGCAGTATGTGTACATCAAGAATTGAGTTTTCATTTTCAACCTGAATAGTGAGTCCTCGTCTCTGACATTACAACCTAGCAGCAAGTGAGGTGGTGGTAGATGATAACTAATTTGACCTACCCCGGGTCTGACCCTGTAACCGGGGAGTGACCAGGCCGAACTGAAGCAGGTTTGATCAAGCTGGTTCAGTCCCTCTATCTACTTTGTAACCACAACTACTTAGTCAGCAAGATGAGAAATCTCTCCATTCAGATTGACATCAGCACCTTGCTTGTACCAGAATTACTTGAATGAATGAATACCCACTTTTGGTTAGAAGTTGGAACCTAATACCCAATACCATGGCTAGAGCTTGGTCAGTTTGGAGGAAGATAAAGCCCATGTAAGCATATTATCTGTGAGCCAAAGCCCATGTATATAAGCCCATATTATCATATGCAAAAACTTGGAAGTTTAGGAAACACAATTAAGCATGGTAAGCTCATTTTCTTACCATCAGTTAGCATGTCATCTTCTGAACTCGACACCTAGATTAACACGAAAACACGATCATCACTAGCCGCTCCATACATTTTACAACACAATAATGCTTCGTTATCGATTGTTAGAAACACATTATTTGCAGCTTTTGGTTAATTCGCATTATTGTCGGTTTTTGTTAATTGGGAGATTATTTGGGGTATTCGGGCAATAATCAGGGAGTCAATTGTTACGTTTTATTAGTTGGGTAGGAGGTAGGATTTTGACGGATTATATAATCTGCAATATGGTGTTATTTTTCCATTAAGCACTAAAATATCAAAAACCTAAAATCCTACTCTCCCTCTCTCTTCTCTCTGCGTCTCCTCCCTCCCCTCTTCTTCTCCCTAAGCTGCCGCAGCAGCAGCCCTATTCCGCTCTCCTTGTTCTTCAATTTCCCCAATCCCAATCCCTAGTTAGATTAATCTCTAATTGATCTAGCTAATTTCTCCAATTCGAACTCGTTAGAAACTTTGTTTCTAACATCGATCCACCACCTCTTTTTTGGGCACAACCTTTAACATAAGGTGGGAGTCATGAAAGGTCTCAAAGTATATTTACATGATCAAGTTGAAAAGGATGGGTGAAAGATGAAAACAAGGACCCTCGTGTGAAAGTCAGGGAGGAGCTGAACGAGAAAACGAAGTATGAGGAAATGATGAAGTGGAAGAAAACAAGGAGGTGGTGATGGTGCTGGGTGGCCATTAAAATGGAGTAATAAGTAGAAGAACAAGAAGACGAGGGCAAAAGGCAGAGGACAAACTGGAAAGGCTGCATTTGGGGGACACTGGTTATTGGAAGCAGACCATTCATAATAAGAAAGTAGGACTAGGACCCCTTAAGTTTAAGGGACATCATGTACTTTTGTTCCAACTTCCTCCCCAACCCATATCTCTTTCCTTTCTCACCATCATAGGCAAAGTTAGAGGTCCTTTTGGGAACTTGCATAATAGAGAAAGCAAACAAGCCTTTTGGTTGGAGCCCTTTTTCTTACTTTTCCTTCTTAACATCTTTTTGGAAGCCAAAAGGCAAGATTGCAAGCAATCTGTGTTCTTGGTATTAGTAGATCATTATGAATCTCAAGACTATTTTTCCCACCAATCTTTGAGGTTCTCTTCCTCTCTCTCTCTCACTCACGTGCTCCTGGGGCGTTGGTCTGAGGAGATGGGGATACTATCGCAATGATAAAAGGACCCCATTGTTGGATTTCGCCATTTTAGTTAAGGGTCCCCCAGCACTTGTGAGGAAATATAAAGTAAGAACAACAATCCCACCTCTAGATCGACGAATTCGATGAATTTTACAACACTTCATAGCATTCGTGGTTTTAAGAAAAAAATTTAGTAGTACAAATTGAAGCACCTAATCTAAACCAATTGGTTCTAATGATTCGACTTGTTGAGAAATGTCCATATATGATACTTAACTACTTCTTTATACGCTTAACTCATGGACTTGTGAGATTTGCACATGTGTAGAGGTGTGCAATGGTTCCATCCGGACCAAACTCATGAGAACAACGGTATATTAGTGAAAGACATCTTAGGACCAAGGACCAGACCATCATTACACTCGCTAAATTCGGTCCGGTTTGGTCCGGTCCAAAATCAATTTGATCTTATTTTCCTCGATAACTATTAAATTCATCGAAACCAAAAACCAGACCTCACTATACTTGGTTCGGTGCGGTCCGGTCTAAATACCGATTTTGTCCGATGCGGTCCAGTACTTACCAGACCATTACACACTCTTACACACGTCTACAGTTTACTATACCATGTGCTTTAAACACAGTGATTAATATTGAAGGTCACGAGAACTTAAACACATGAACTCAATAACAAACCAACTCCGATACAATGTCATAAACTTACGGTTTTTCATCATGTCTCGTATTTTTATCACTTTCTTATACTCCAATACGCTGGAGTCTGGAGCATATTAGATGAGCTACTACTACAAATTGGACTTCGTTGTCTTTCAATTCCAGCTATACTGGACATCAACTAATGTGCTGTATGGCCTTAGGCCCAGAGCCGCTAATAGTATCTAGTGGGCCACTGTGGCATCGCATATTGGGTTGAAAATGAAAACAATACCAAGCCCTTTGCTTGTTTCCAAAGAAATGTGTAATTGCTTGTTGAATCCAATAGATAACAGTAACACGCATCATTTAAGGATCATTAGCTGATTAATCACACGCATAATTAAGTCTCCTAATCACTTTGAAAGATTAAATTCGATTTGCTCTAAAACGACGGCAGCTAAATCATAATAGTAATCAAACGATTCCTTTGTTTAGTAGTATAAAACCAAAGTTAAAACCAGCTGTCGACTACATAGTCAAACGAAGAGCCAGCAATCAAAGCAGAATAGCCGAACAGCAGTCCTCGATCCAACGGGCCCCTTAGAAAACAGATCCAAGGTCCATAATTTTAGGCCCACCAGGCCTAATCTAATTGGGCCTAACTCTGTTGTTGAGAAGCATTTCCCGGAGCTCCACCGGATCGATCTCCGCAGCAGAATTACCCGGCCTGTAGTACCCGGTCACCGGGTCGGGTCCCCAAGCAGAGGCAGCACCGGAATCCTCCTTCACCACCGCTGCAGGCGACCTCTCTTCCACGGCTTTCCCCACCATATTTCCCGCCGGCACTCGGCCCAACGCCGCCGACGCAGCTCCCAACGGCGCCGCAGCAGATGCAGCATAACCTCTCCTGTCAAAGAAAAAAAAAATCGAACCAAATCAATACTTCTTCGTCGGGAAAAATCAAACAGAGAATATCGGGAGTTTTAAATCCAGATCTTCGTCTCAGGACTAGAAAAATGAAAGAAAGCGGACGTATGCTCACCGGAGAACGGAGAAGGAGACTGGAAGAAGCTTAGCGGCAGCGACGGAACGAGACATTTTCGGAGATCTCTTTTATTTATCGCGGTGACAGATTACTTATTCGTACGTAAACGACTTCGGCTTTGCTGGCGGAAGCGGAAGCTGCGAATCTTCTTCTCTCGGGTAGAGATCTCCGATGAAAGACGGAGAAGAAGAAAACAGCTCCGCTGCAGCTAAGCGAGTCGTCGGAGTTCTTTTGCAGGTGGCGGTGGTGGGAATTGGGGGAGGAAATAGGGTTTTGTTGCGATGGTATTTATAAGGGAAGGGGGGATTTTGGTGGCCTTTTGGGTGCGAGAAGTTCGGCCATTGGGCCAGACCCGCCAGAATTAAAAAAAGGGGTCAAAATGGAGGCGTTGACACGTGGACCGAAAGACGCGTGTAGAAGCCGCCCTCCCTTGGCATGATGGAAAGGATTCTTGTCCATTGATGTATCTTTAGAGATGCACTAAGCTAGTTGGGGGAGAAGAAGAGAAAAGGCAAAGGGAATATTAATTAGGTTAGGAATTCTTTAGGAAAACTTGGCCATCAATCAAGGGGCTTCTCTCACTTGGGATTGGATTATTGCCAATTGGCTTTGCATAATACTAATATATATGTTAATTTGTGAAATCATATGCAAATGGGTAGAGACAAAAGGATGTAATTATGCCACGATCGTCACGATTTTGTTGCGTTCGAATTGTGGTGTACCGAATTGATCATTTATTATATCGGTGTATGGTTCCAACATAAAAAACAAATGATTTCCATATATGTTCAAGTATAGCTTTACTATACAAGTACATTGGATTTGAATCGGTAAAGATTGTCGAGATAAAATCGTTAAATCCAACCTCATACTGATTATGAAAACATTCTTAACATTTTCGTAAACTTACCAGGTTTTAATGATTGGTCTACGAAAAGAGCATGAAGCCGAGATTATTCAACTCCTATCAGAATCTTGCCAATCCCTCAACTACCTTCATATAATTTGAGTGCCCTATTTTCTTATATGATAGATAACATAAAACTCAACATAACTTTTTGTAGAATTTCGACATTTAACATGTCCAGACATAAAAATTAATGTTGGTCAAATTTTCCCAGGTGACTAAAATAAAAGCACATACAACAGCGTATGATATGATATGAGAATAATTACCAACAATGAAATGGATTAATTTTTTCAAAGTTCTCAGCTGGTTAAAACTAAAAGGGAATCGAGGGTAGTGGACGATGAAAGTAAGGATTCTCTCCACTGGAAAATAAATAAGAAGAAGAATCAACTCGTCAAGTTGGCCTGTGTTGGTTTGCGGGATAATATTGGATGCATGCTTTTGATCTGGTTGAATTGGAAATTGTCTTTTGCCTCTTTGGTACTACTTCTTCCTTCTCGTGTATAATTATCATGTGCTGTGGGACAGCTGTTTTGGTATATATATGTATGGCCTCTCCTTCCCGCAAAGTGTCGCTTCCCAAAGAACGACCCCTTCTTGTGGTCAATCTTCAAGGGACGACGACGGCCCTTTGCAAGGTTGATGATTCAACACAAGTGTCAGCTTCCCCAAGAATAATCTTGAATTTGATCCATTGTTTGAGGACTATAATAAGGGAAAAGTCAGAGTATATAGAACTCTTAGTGTTGTAAACGCGCTGCTACGGATCGGGAAATCGCCGGAATCGATAAAACAAGAATACGAAAGCGAGAATTGAAAAACACAGACACACGATTTACGTGGTTCACTAACACGATGTGTGTTAGCTACGTCCACGGGCGAGAGAGAGTCAGTTTCACTATATAAAGGAGATTACAGATTACAGAGGAGTATGAGAAGTATTTATAGTACTTCTCCATGTGGGTCTAAACCTAATCCAATCAACGAGACCCCCCCGATTACCAGTCGTAGCGGCTGATAGTCCGATTCAAGTCACATCAACACTTAGAATTGCAAAACTTTCAAAATCTCGTGTCTTACTATCGCTGGTACGATCATATCAAGAGGGGGTTATAGGTATAATATGCTCCTCTACTATGACATTTTGTCAAACATGCCCCTTTACTATTTTTACATTAAACATACCCCTGTAATTTGGAAAAACTATCAAACATGCCCTTCAGTTGAAATTTCCATCGAAAAAATCGTCAATCATGGTTGAACCTAGATTTAGACGACCTGACATCGATAAATGGGAGGGAAATGTCAGTTTTGACCCTTGTTTTATTTCTCTAGGTCCCATCAAAATGAAATTATTAGAATTTTTTGGCTATGCAAACGAACAAAAAAACTTTAAAGTGAAATTATTAGAGATATTTTAGATATTTAGGTTGCCCAAACCAAAGTTCGGTCTTGGTTAACAGTTTTTGGATGAAAATTTTAACAAAAGGGCATGTTTGATAAGTTTTCCAAAGTACAGGGGCATGTTTGATGTAAAAATACTAAAGGGACATGTTTGATAAAACGTCATAGTAGATGGGCATATTATACCTATATCCCTATCAAGAGGTGATGAGGTGATATGATTCGTATCAGCAACAGCTGTTAGGAATTTTCATTTTTGCCAATTTAAGCCGCGCGAGTTACCAATTTACAACACATGTATTCGTTATTTGTTTTTTTATGGGCTAATTACAAGTAGTCAATGCATGAAGCCACATGATAACTCAAATTTAATATCGAACTAAATGGGCTTAAACTCAATACATTACTGATTACTTACTCATCTAGGATTTTATGCATGGTAGCCCATTACGACTAGTATTTAAGAAACCATTTTGATGTTGTGATCCCCATTACACCGAGGTGAGCATTCACTCTCATCTCCTCCCAATGAGGAAGATCAAAGGTCTCATATACAAGAAATAATTAAGGAGGCTTGATTAAAGGAGGTCACAAAACCTCTTGAATCGTGCTTTTAGGACTGTACTTTCATATCGTGATTCAGATTCCGCATGAAGTTCTTGATGATCTATCAACGTGAAGTATTTCTATTAACTTTTTGACCGTATGAACAAATGGTTTCCAAAAATTACATATCTTAAATTTAACTCTTACAATAAATAATACAATACATATTATGTATGTTTGCAGCTTCTGAATTTTGTACTCATTCCCTTAATAATGCGTCGTCGAAAATCATCACACAACTGATAATACAGCGTCTTGCGGCGTTGGCTTAAAACTAGTTTATGATGATGATTATTATTGGATTTTTCTCTCCGAACGGGACTTGTTCTCAACTTCAATAAACAAATCGGCGGTGTTGTAATATCGCGGAGCCAGCTGGTGGGAAAGCATGAAGGATCGACGAAGACGAATAATTAGCCGAACGACTAACAGAGGCAATTAATTAATTAATTAATGAAGATTTTTGTTTCGTTAATCCTCATTTAAGCAAACATTAATAATGGTGAAGAGGTACGATAAACCTACGCCAGCTCTGTGTAAAGAAGAGTATTAAACAAATGGGCCAGCGCGGCGGTGACTCTTGTAGTTCACGAAAGGTGTCAGCCACTCCGACAACGCCACCGCAGTGGCCGTAATTCTTGTTTCCTTCCCAACACTAACGGCCGAAAACCCTCGATTTCCATCGACAATTAATTCTTTTATATATAAAATTTAAGTGTCGAATCCAGAACGTACAGATGAATTATCATAATATTATTATTATATAATAATAATTTTGTCATGTTGGCATGTAATGCTACAGATTGGCATTTGTGTTTATTGAATACCAACTTAGTTTGTTGGAGCTCCCTTGACCTCTCGCTACAGGTTACTCTAGGCATATGCGGTAGGGGTGGCTATACGGTCCGGTCCGGTCCGGTTAAATTGGATCAAATTGATTCGGTCCCGGTCCTGTCTTTTCAGGAATATAAGGACCAAAGATTGGATTGGATACACTCCGGTCTTGACCCGGTCCGGTCCCAATTTGATTTTGATTTTAGATTGAGCTTGTGGGGATTTGAGTGTTGGGGTCTCTTATTCGGTCTTTATCCGGGTTTTTACCTCAAATCTAAGCTCGAATATGAGATTGTATTGTTTGCTATCCGGTCTCAGTCCGGGATATACGATCCGGTTTCGGGTAAAACCAAACAGTCCTGGACCAAATTGCCAGCCCTAATAGGCGGAGGGAGAACATGGGTAACTTTTGGGGAGGGAAAAAATAACCCTACATATATTTGTAAAGATCGAATTAAATATTTATAAATAATATAAGGATATTTTAACATTACAACATACCTTTTTTTTTTTACGAAAACCTGATTTCATTACGAAATAGGAAAGTGTTACAGAGTTTGGACCAAAGTCCAGTAAGGATAGAAGACTGTTTCTAAGAATACAAGGGAGCCCAAACACGGAACAGAGAAAATATAAAACATAACAAAAGAGAAAACCCAAGCCCACACCAAACAAAACAAAAGAAACCCTAGCTAGCCCAAGAACCCAACGTCTTCACACCACCAACCAGCTGCCGCCTAGCAAGACGCCAACCATCACCAACACCATCCCGCCGCCAGCCACAACACCACTGCCAATCACCCCCAACACAACAAAATAAAAACACCCACAACAAAAAACACCACCGTCGACAAACCAAAGCCCACCGAAAACCTTCACCAACCGCGCAACACGAACACCATGCGTAGTAAGAAGAGCCACCAACGAGCCACAAAGGCCACCACCTCCCAAACAGAACAAAACCAAAGCCCACCGAAAACCTTCACCAACCGCGCAACACGAACACCATGCGTAGTAAGAAGAGCCACCAACGAGCCACAAAGGCCACCACCTCCCAAACAGAACAAAACCACCATACCTGCACCACCACAAAGCAAAACACTCCACCCACAACTCAATCACCGCCGAATGCCAACACCACCAAAACCAGACAACCACCAGACGATCCGTAGGGCAGCAAGTCCTCAAAGAAAGCCAACATCCCTGCAACATAACTCATTACTTGTTCATTAATTCACAAAAAATAATTAAATTATTGGTTTCATTCACGACACTATCGTTTCACAACAGCTCGTTAGGTATTATCACAATATTATGGTGTAAACATTGAATTTCTTTCATAATATGAAAACTCGTCCTGGTTATTTATGAAACAATAATTGTATTAGTCAGTTTTTTGTTTCTCTGTGAATGAATTATTTAGATATTATTAATTTTAATTATATTTATAAAATATTATATATTTTGAATAAAGGACATGGATAGTTTGAAATCCTGCCTCCGCCACTGCCTCTAGGAATGAACAGAACTTTGTGATTAGGATGATGCTCTTGTTTACTACATAAAATTAGACGATGATATGTTTGGTTTAATTGATTTTTCAAACATTAACATGTGTTCGATTCTAATGAACTCTTCAAGTGATTAGTTCATCATGGTTTAGGTTGGTTTTACATTCTTTCATACACAATTATAGTGATAAAGATGATAAACATATAGGCATAGTTAGTAAAATACAGTACGGGAAAGTTACGTATAAAATACATACGGGTATTATACTTCGTCTCTAAGCAAATATTATGTTTAATAGTACGTTAATAGTCATAAATATATAAAATTAATTATTTTAAAAATAAATAAATATATAAAATAATAGTAAAGTTAATATTTTAATTCATTAAATACGGATATTAAACGTGTTATACGATTTTTATATGTGTTTAGTACGGGAGCCATCAAATGAACGGAAACAAATGAAACGGCTTGACAATAATAGGGATACAGAAGTTTTAAACGAATAAAATATGTATGGATACATGAGCCAAGCGCTTCAGTTAAGTTCTTAATCCGTCTTCGCCTCTAGGCTCATATTCTATTCTTCCCAGCTTTCTACTCTCAGGCTTCCGTCTAAGAAAAGGAGGTGGGTTCCTCGAAATGAACTGAAATGGTTTAGGCAAACCTTTATCCGACCAAACCGCTCAGAAGGCACCTGTTCATCAGAACTACGACAATGAATGGGATTGGGATAAACCGGGGATAGGGAACATCCTTCGACTTGGAGACAAAACGGCTGGCTGTGATTGTGGAAGTAAGACCGTATGAATGCCAGTACGGTAACTAGCCACGGGGGACTCCCTTCACTTCAGATCAGAAAACGGATCCTATGTCAGCTCGACCTGTAATTCACTTGTTGGCTCTGCCAGATGATAATTAGGATCAGCAGCACATCCTGAAAATTTACTAACGGAGAATTTACTAACTATGCATATAGGTCATCTAGAACAGTTTTTTTTTAAAGATAATGACAAATTTTATTGCAAAAAAGAGAGGAAAAGAAACGAAAACGGTACAAAAATGCAAAGCCAAATACAACAAAGGACTCGATCTTGTAAAAGATTTTCACGGAAGGAGTTAAGAGATAGCAATAAGTCGGGCCAAGGTGGATAGTGCATGCATATTTGTTACTCTATTTAAAGTAGTTCGGTTTTACTCATACTCATACCCATTTAAGAATCAAGTAGAAAATCAAAATCATGTACATACCCGTCCGAGTTTCGGGTATCCACGGTTATCCATGGGTAGTAATTTCTTTTTACAATTTCAACTCATATGTTAACATTCGCATGTATACTCACATGACATAAGATGTAAGAAATTCATAAAACACGTAAATTACACACTTTATTGAATAGCAAAATTACAACTTAACCATATTTCAAACACAACATTACAACACACATACTTCATTAGTACCATTGCACCCTCATTATTGAAATTGAAATACAAACATACATATACGATTAGACCTTATTTGTACTATTTTTTTTATATATAACAATATTGGTCCCTCACACGTTACAATAATCGTACATGCACAAAGCAATTATACACTCAAAGCTAATTATTGTTGCTGTTGGGAGGGAGGAGGTTGAATCCCGTGGGGACGAGCTGAGTAACCCTGAGGAGGCCGACGAGGATGTCGCCGACGAACTGGAGAGGGGAAGAGAGGATGCCGCCGACGGAAGGCAGGGTGGCGTTGCAGGTGGAGAGCGGCGTCGTGACTCTCACGCTGCAGTCGTTCAAGAGCGTGGTGAGAATGAAGCGGAGAGGATCCAGTAGTATGGAGAATACACCAGCTGCGTTCGTCGTTGTGGTTGATATTATAGTGCTTCCACACTGCAATTGCACACCTGCATCTGTATAACAACGAAGATAGTATGCAACAGCTGATCAGTGTCATGTTTTTGGTATAGCCTCATAAATAAACGAAAAGATCCTTGTTTTGGTGTAGGATTTGACTATGGAATATTGGGTATTTGATTTCCGTTTCGTGGATATTGTTGAGTTTTAACGAGATATAGTTTGGTTAGGATCGAGTTTTCTGATTAGCAAGAATTAGGAGTTCGCGAAAAAAAAAATTATTCGAAATTCAAATTCGTCGAGTCGAGATTTTGAAAACCAATCTCACATAGAAGCTGATTAGGTTTGGAGGTTCTTCGTATTCAAGAACGAATAATTATTATTCTAAAACATTTGTTTTCATATATTTTCTTCTAGTTTATACATTAAATTGTGTGCCAGAATTAAATATTTTAGAGCTGTCGCATAATTCTTGTAGTACTAGGATAATCAATTTTTAGAAGCTAATGTAATACCAGGATAATCCATTTTTGCATAATCTTATCACAAATGGAAGTATTATTGAGTGTGAAAATGGGGAATATAGCATAATTATGAAAAAAAAGAATCATAGAAGTATGAAGAAATTTGTGTGGTGGCCTACTAGCCTTATTTTGTTGCTTACTTGGGAAAACAGGGGTGGCAGTGCCGTTTGCACCCATGTTGCCATTGGCGGTGCAAAACACAGTGCCATGGACGTTGATCAAGCCCAAAAGCCCGCTGATGATCCCCAGCTGGGCCTCAGCAGCAATTGGGCCGACCACTGCGACCACCATGATCAAGAGGGAAACCAGGAAGAGAGTTCTAGCTTTCGACGCCATTTGCAGAAGAAAAAAAAAAGGAATCACTACGATGTTTTTTTTATTTAATGATACTGTGTTTTCTTTTTTTGCAATTTGCATGCATATTAATGTGGAGTTATGTCGTTCTATTTATAGAAGTCCAATAGGGCAAGTTGGCGCGCGATTTGCTTACTAATTTGCTGTCTAGGGTTTCGTCGTGACTTGGAGACTAGGGCTAAGCTAGGATTGTGGAGGGATGATTTGATTAACCGACCCTTATAATGTAGGACTTGTCTGGATTATAATGCCCTAGATTTTGGGGCATTTGAATTAGGATTTGGAGAAGCTTAGGATGGGTTACTTCTTGACATGTTCTATGTAGCTCTCTATTGCATGCATTGATTTTATGTATACCATAGCTAGCTAAGTAAGCTAACCATTTATGACCATTGAAAGGTTATCTAAAGTTTTGGAAACATATAGTGGAAGCGGCTGCAAGCCCAACAGATTTGTAGTCCAACGGTATTTTAGGAGGGGATGATTCAACGGACTCTCTACCGAAAGTGTTTTCCCCAACACTTCTACTATGCTATATAGTATTGGTACTTTAATGTACAACTCAAAGTTGTACCATAACATTAAATGTATAAGTTTAGGTTGTACCATAAAACAATTTGTATCATATGTTATGGTACAACTTTACAACTTGAAGTTGTACCATCACATAAAGGTACAAGTTCAAGTTGTACCATAAAAGAATTTGTACAAAAAATATAGGTACAATCTGAAGTTGTACCATAACGTAAATGTACAATTTTAAATTGTACCATAAAGACAAAAACCTATAGCAGCAATACTATATAACATTGTAAAATTTCTCCATTTCCCCCCTCTTTTGAACAGAGTAGTTATTGTAGGTTTTCTATTCAGTGTACTAGTTTAATTATGGAAACATATCTCCTATTGTGTCAAATTATTTGTGCAAACTAGTTTTTATTTCTAAAATGGTATCGAAGATATCACTAAAGCACAAATATATCAAAGGTAAGGAGATAGTTTGATTTAGGCAAAAATACATTTGTATAGCCATAACTTTCACGTTTGTGATAAATATAGCCATAAATATTCGAAAACACAAAATAGCCTAAATATTGAATGGTCATGTGACAAATCTAGCCATTTCTGTTAGAGACTTTAACGGTGTTAGAAACTCCGTCAGTTAGGTTAACGTTAGGCTGACTAGGATGCCAAATCATCTCACACATCAGCATATTATTGCCACATCATTTTGAATTATTAAAATAATTAATTTTGAAGTAAAAAACAAAAGAAAAATCTCCTCGATTCACCCATCCTTGCCGTCGTCGTGGATACCACGAGCTCTCCGGCAGTGGGATTGAAGTCGAGCTCCTCCAAACATATCCTTCTCCGCTTGGCAAATAACCTTTCTCTATAGTACACACTTCACTGGTTCATTGAAAAATCACAGCAAAACAGAACAACCAGGCAGCCATGAATAATTTCCCACTAATTCTCTGTTGCATCCTCTTCAATTCGGTGCTTATCACCCAATCCACCCTCCAAAAATCGCCACAGCCCACCTCCCCCAACCAGTAGCATTATCTTCAACACTCTCATCATCGCCAACGTCAAATACCTTCGTCATCGTCGTCCTCAATCGTTGGCTTTTTTTTCTTCTTTCCTCTGTATTCTTCTCTTCTTTTTCATTGGTTTTCCAGAAAGAATAAGAGATAACGAGTGAGATAAGGTTTGTGCGGCTAGGGTTTTTAAGGGGTTTCTTCTTTTATATTTTACTAAATGAAAAAAAATTGTATTTTTTTTTTGTTAATCCACGTGTCCAATGAGAAATTGCCAGCTCAGCATTTCCGTCTGTATAGTCAGATCGTTAACTAACACCGTTAAAGAGATGGACAGAAGTGGCTATGTTTTGTTTTCGGATAGTTATGACTATATTTGTCACAAACATGAAAGTTATTCCTATGAAAGTGTATTTTGCCTTTCATCTATCCATATACATTTTCTCTTCACCTCTCTCTAAATACTTTGTCAATTTTTATACACCATTTCACGTACTAGTGTACTTAAACTTTGCAGTACATGTAGGTAGGTGGGAATGAGAATACCTATACACCTCTACAACTTTCATACACATTGATGAAATCATATAAATACAATTCAGAATCCAAGACTCAGATCACATTGTTGTTCGATATCTAGTATTATCTACTGATAAGGCACAAAACATATTTGTTGAATCTAACAAAAATTAGAATTAAATCAAGGATTTGTGTACTCTTCGAGTAAGTTTATTTTTTTGGTGATAACTCTTCGAGTAAGTTAAATCTATATTCAGGGGCGGACCTTCACCCGCAAATTTTGTAAAGAACCTATATTTTTTTGGAACAATTTTTTTTATAAGATAATTCCGACATCTTTTTAATAATTATAGCCGATACTCCTTCATTAGACGACACCCCTCTTCAACAATTATGAATCCGCCACTGTCTGTATTACCAGAATTTTTTTTAATTAGGACGAGAATAAAATATTCAATTCAATCTCGACTAAAATAAAAGACCAAATGTTTTTCTTCTCAAACTATGCAATCCTTCCTACTAACAAGCTATCCCTTTCCATCAATATGGAGCGAAACTAAAGTAATTCACTCATAAAAGCAAACATCTACGTAGCTGACTAAAATTACGAGAAAAACCTAATCATAAATCTATAAAAAAAGAAAATCTGTCACTATAAAGATTGAAATCCATATTATAAATCAAGATTTCTCCCGAACAATTCAAATTATCGACATAAGAAAGAACGAATCCCTCGTTATCATTCCCATTGTCTTCTATCATTTGACACCTCTAGTTTCCACACAAGCGTGCTCCATATGTGTGGCCTTCACCTACGCCATTGCCTCGTTTTGTCCTGTGTAAAGCTACAAGGCAAAAAGCTTTTAGGCAGGGCCTAACCCACTGGCGTACAATATATAGAAGTGGGCGACCTAGTTTAATTTGGTTACAGAATGGCCATTTGCCTAATGGTCCAGCCGAACTCTACGAGGCTACAGCCTCTTATTCTGACTCGGTTCACCTTTCTTCAGCAAAAACTCGCCGATTCTGGGCAATTGGGGCCTGAGCTTGACCCGCCAATTGGGCAGGGAATAAATCAGCGTAAGGTTGCTCTTCCATTATTTCTCAACGCCGACTCACACGGCCGGACGTCGTCTATGGTCCCTTTCTGGCGAGAAAAGTTTTGCTTATCAATGAACATGAGTGGGCAACGAAAAACAGGTATTTGGTTATACCCATACTCGTTCAGTTTTTTTAGGGTTAGTTGATCACAATTCGACGTTGGCGTTGGAAGTATATTGGGCTTCTTTTCATTCTTCTTTGGTATCTACGGTTGGGATCGAAGATATTTGGCCCACAAAAGGGATTGGAGTTTTAGATCCTTGGAAAATTCCTTTTCTTAATGCCCCCATTTTCCTTTCATCCGGTGAGAACTCGTAATATTTATTAAGAGATGTGACTTGAAATTAAAATTTTTAACATTGGGTATCCACGCGTTACCCGCTAATACCCATTTAAATAATATGAGTACCCGTAATACCCATTACATTAATTCCTTATACAACCCTTTAGCCCAGAGCCCAACCCACCTGTTTGTGTCATCCAAAGTCCAGCACCCTTGCCCCAGCCCAGATCAAGCCCGCCCCCATCCCATCCCACCCCATCTCCTCTCCTTTCCTCTCCTCGACTCGACTTCCTCGGAAGAAGACCAGACCAAGACCTAATCATGTTCTAATGCAGACGGAAATCGGAAAGAAAGTATATATAAATAGTTTAGGTACCCGTTATTCGTTCCGAGATGACATTCTCAGCCGAGATATTGTTAGTGCACAAGACATTCACACTTTGCTTTAAATCTGTCGCAATAATACAAATAAAGAGGACCGAAACAATATTTTTCAGCCGAATTTGAGCAAGGCAAGTCGCCAAAAACCAAAACAGATACCATAACATCTTTATCAAAGACAGATTCATTTATACGCAAGAAATGCACAACTAAAGACCATAACGAAACGGTTGAAGAACCGGATGAACATAAAAAAAATTGATTGCCAGGACTCAAGGAAAATCGAGTCCATCTTTTGCGTGCAGAATTTCATCCTAATAACACGCACCAACCTCATGAAAGGCATAAACGCTGTCCCACTCCCACCTCTTCCTGAGACGCCTTCTCTTCTTTACCCGCCGTGACACTTCCGGCACACCCCTCAACATCAGAGCCCATAAATGGAAGCAGCCACACAACGTCAAACAACCAAGTTGACTCAAAACCATCTGTCAGAGTTCAACTTTTAACCTCACAGCCATGAACCCAGAACAACTTCTCCATCAACTCCAACATTTCCCACTCTTCACGACACACCAGTTGATCATCCTAGCCACAGCAGCCTCCTTCTTTCTGTACCACACATACAGAAGGAGAGTAGCAGGATTCTACCTTCTCGATTTCTCATGCTACAGGCCATCACCTGGACACCGAGCCCCCATGGCCTTCTACCACGAGCGACTCCATCTCGAGAACATCCACCCCGATGCCACATCATTCCAGCTCAAAATCCTGGAGAAATCCGGGTTCGGGGAGCAGACTGGGATCCCGGAATCCCTTGCTCGGACACCCATACAAAACGGAGTCTCCTTCAGCACCGAGGAAGCTTCGACCATCATGTTCCAAGTAGTCTCGAATCTCCTAAAAAGAACCGACACAAATCCAAAAGGAATCGACCTGCTGATATGCAACAGCTCCATGTTTGCTCCCACACCATCACTATCTTCCATGGTAGTGAGCAAGTTCAGAATGAGGAGCAACATCAAGACATACAACTTATCAGGTATGGGATGCAGTGCTGGGATTATATCAGTAGGGCTGGCCAGAGACTTGCTGAAGGTGAACCCTGGCTCTTTGGCGCTCATAGTGAGCACCGAGATGCTAGGGCTGAATTGGTACACTGGTGAGAACAAGTCGATGCTGCTGACTAACTGCCTGTTCCGAATGGGGGGAGCTGCTGTACTTATGTCTAATAAAAAGCAAGACCAGGGGATATCAAAGTATGAACTCCAACATCTAGTTCGAACACATAGAGGAAAGGATGACAACTCTTATAGCTGTGTTTTTCAAGATGTGGATGAAGATAAGAAACTAGGAGTGTCCATATCGAAAGAGATATTACAAGTAGCTGGAGGGGCACTAAAGGCAAATGTTGCATCACTAGGACCAATGGTGCTTCCATATTCAGAGCAACTATGCTATCTGGTGTCACTAACTGGAAGAAAGGGAAGCATATATGTGCCCAATTTCAAAAGGGCATTTCAACACTTCTGCATACATGCTGGTGGTAAAGCAGTTATTCAAGCTATACAGAAAAACCTAAAGCTGAACGATGAGGATGTCGAGCCTTCCAAGATGACACTCTACAGATTTGGGAACACTTCATCATCTTCTATATGGTATGAGCTAAGCTACGTCGAAGCTAAAGGGAAGATGCAGAAGGGTGACCATGTTTGGCAAATAACTTTTGGGAGTGGGTTCAAGTGTTGCAGTGCTGTATGGAAATGCAATCAAAGTAGGGTCATTACTCGAGACAATGCATGGGTAGATGACATTCATTTGTATCCGGTAGCAATACCAGCTACAGCGAAAATCAGCGAAAGCTAATGTAAGCGTGCTTACTGATGATACTATATTAGAAACATAAACTTCAGTAAACAGAGAAAGGCACATCATTGAAGAAATTCATGGTTCTCAACACAAAATCGTCAACCAATGCAAACTGTTTTACTGGTAGAAACTCTGCAAAACTCACAAATTTCAAGACTTTCACATAAACCCTAAATGCAAATCAAAAACTAAGATTCTCGATTGGGCAGAAACGATTACAGAGAGACGCTCAATCCTCCTCCTCGCCTTCATTCTCGGCGATGTTGAAGTATCTCAGCTCGTAGATGGAACGGTCCTTGTTGGAAGCAATCACACGAAGCCAATCCCTGACATTGTGCTTCTTCAAATACTTCTTCGTCAAGTACTTCAGGTACCTGAGAATCCAAAAAAAGAGATGGAGCTACAATCAGGAACTTAAGAACCATAAAGCTCGAAGTCTCCGGAAAAAGGAAAGCTACCTCTTGGAGAAGTTGGAATCGGAGGTAACGGTGATCTTGGACTTCTCGCGAGTGATGACGACGGCGTCGCCGAGTGCTCCGGCCTTGCCGCCGACCTTGATGCGCTCCTGGAGGAACTTCTCGAGGGAGGCGATGTCCATGATCTTGTCCTCGACGGGCTTACCGCAGTCGATGGTGAAAGTGACTCCCTTCTTCTTGCCCTTGGCGCCGGCGGCACCTCCTGCTGCTCCGCGGCTCATTTTCGATTTCCTCTTTCGACTACCTTTACAAGCAAACAGAGAAAGGGAGCTGGGTGTTAGCTAAACACAGAGGGAGAGAGTCGTAGAAGTGAACGGCGGGGAGAAAGGCAGGAAGAGGATCTTACCGGTGAGAATTGGCAGAGATTTGCAGCGCCGCAGGAACTCCAGATGGGAAGGCAAAGGGCGAAGTAGGGTTTTTGGGATATATAGTACAAGGTTGTATGCGCTTAGGTCGTTTGCAACGATGGAAACTGCTGGGCTTCAACCGCTAGTGGGCTTCCATGACATTTGGACTCATTTTTTAAGAGGCGCATTTAGGCCTAATTAGGATAAGCGAGCCCAATCAGAACAGGCTTAAAAGGGTTGGTCAATCATTTTTGCAAGAGAAATGTCAAAAGTAGAATAGGGGCGCTTACAAAATGTTATGGTTTGTGGCGATGCAAAGGTTGTCATTAACATATGTAATGTCGACGATTTGATCTTATGGATGCGAAGGTAGGGGGTTATTTTTGAAGATAATGGTCTCCTCCTCGTCTGAGTATTCCATTGTATTTGTGATAGAGATTGTAACATATTGACTTATTTAGTCACCCGTAACCTTTGTGTTTATTGTCTCGTATATTTAACAAGTTTCACTTTGTATTTAGGATTCCTAGTATAGGTTTCTTGCGAGACGTATGATCTTTGTTTTTTCTCTTTTATTAAGAGATCTAATGATAGGGGGGGAAAGAACAAAGTCGAGAGTGAAAAATTGAACACCAACACCACTGACATAGCTCCCTTCTTTATTGAGGAAATAACACCCATAATTGTGAAGGAAAGCAGGATTGAACGTTGAAAGTTGAAATCCTATGAAACCCTAGACCGCGTTTACGGGCCAAACACCAATCGATGGAACCCGCAAGCACCGAGTCTCCCCACAAAATGACAAAAGAACTTTATATGAAGACAATTCATACGTGACATTGGTAATTGTAGGGAAAACATTGGAAGTGACACATCATGTACATAGTGATGGCAATCGGTGGGACGGGGCGGGCGGATACCTCAATATCTATGCTTGGCCCACGTTATTGTTGGTCGGGACAGATAAAATCCGTGCGGGTACGGGACGGGACATATTGACCCACTCTTACATGTTATTTGAAAAAAATACGCGTAAATTTTTATTTTTACGATAAAACGAAGAGGAAACACTTTATAAATGACAAATAGTGATAATAGAATGGGTAATTTAGTCAAACAAGTTGAAATATCGACTCTAACTAGTTGAAGAAAAGTCAAAATAAAAGAAAATTATGTATAGATTGCGTAAGAAATTGAGATAAAATGGGTTAAGAACGGGGCGGGGCAGCCGGACAGGGCAGGTCGGAAGTAGATATCCATGCTTTGCCCCACGCTACTATGAGTCGTATAATACCTGCTCTATCACGAGTCAAATCGGGTAATACCCACGTGGCGGGTTCAAATTGCCATCACTACATGTACATAAGAGGTTTTGGGTACGCTGATTTGAGAAACATGTCATTTTCTCAATAAAATAGGGTAAGTTTATTGTTAAACAATCTCCATAGATGCATGAATATGCATACGTCCGGTAGTCTGGGGGTATAGGATTGGGAGTAGTCATACGCGATGATGAAAGGAAGTTTCACCTTGCGGCATCAATGAAAATTCCGGGAAGCTGGGAACCTGAGATGGCGGAAGCCTTAGCAGCAGAGTTCGACATGTAGTTAGCATACCATTCTCATATGACAAACTTGGTCCTTAAAACAGAATGCCTCTCGCTTACCCATAAGTTGGTGGGCGGTGGCGGCGGATAATATAAACACAGAAATTGGTGTCATATGTCGTAATATCCTTAGGCTTCTTCGGGAGATTGGGAATGGAACTTAGCAGTATGCTCCAAGAGAAGGAAACATAGCAGCTCATATCACGGCTCATAATGAGACTAGATGGAATGAGAGGAAAGTTTGGTTTGATAGGCCCCTTATGATTCTTGTTGATTTGAGTTTGTTGGATAACGTAGACACGATGTCTTATTAATAAAGTTATTACAGATTTAATAAAAAAATTGATGTGTGAAGATGGCAAGAGAAAAAAAATATTTTATAGTTAACAATTATGGTGGAATATGTAAATGATATTTCATACGTGTTAGTTAAGCTAAACAATATCTCGATATTTCTTACGTTGTCCTAAAGATGTCTAGTGTGTTATCAAAATTGAGAGAGAATTTATGAAGTTTGACATAATGACTCTTGATATTACCATAGGTTGATGGAGTCCTCATTAACTTGGTTTCTTCTATGTATTTACTCTTGGTATGTTGTTAGAAACCTATTTTTAGGGTTCTAGCGATCAGGTTGTGAAATTGAGAATTGATAGGTATTTAGTGATTTATAATATAATAATTGGAAATTGGAATAAGATTTTAGGAATGTAAGGAAGAACGGCAGAGGCCTTTTGAAAGAGAAAGAGAGACAAGAAAGAGAAAGATAGACTAGGGTTTGATAATTTCGTATTAACTTTCTTGATTAACACGTAAAACCCAAAACACATATTTTTAATAAAAGACACCCAAAATCCCAAAATTAACCCTAATCCTACTCTTTAAATCCCTAACTCACAATTAATAATACTACCAATCAACAATGAATATTGCTAACATAAGTTGCCTTGGGGAAATTTGTCACAACTGCAGACCTTACACCATAGCAGTAAAACGAAAACTACACCGTTCATTCTATTGAATTCGAAGGTGGAGGGGTAATCTATCAAGCATTATCATTTGATGTCTCGACATAAGAACAAACAAAGTAGGGGGGTAAAAAGATGATCAAAACCAGTCAAAAGAAAATCTACCAAACGTTTAATTACCGGAACAAACACCATTTTCTTTTCTTAATAATTAGATTATTTCTAATCCTCATGATCACTCCATATTTCATTGCTACACTAATAACATACGCCTGATTCAGCATCAACCCACAAAATCAAGCGGAGAAAGCCTTCTGTTCGCCGAAGATGCGCTGCCGGAAATCGGAAACCATCATCGGAAGTCCCTTCCGGAGCGACACCGTCGGCTCCCAGCCCAGCTGCTCCTTCGCCTTCGTAATGTCCGGCTTCCTCATGTGCGGGTCGTCTTCCGTGTTGGGCTTGAACTCGATTCTAGCCTTTGGGTCGATCGTCTCTTGGACCACCTGCATCCGAAAAAAGCCCAATTCAAATCCACCAGGCCCAGCTTACTCCTCGAAAGCCCAATGGAAATGAATCAAATCCACTGTTTACCTCAGCTAGCTGCAACATGGTGAACTCTCCAGGGTTGCCAAGATTGAATGGACCAATGTGCTCGCTCTCCATCAGCCGCACCAGGCCCTCTACCTGTTCCCATTACGCGCTCAACGTGTTCGATGAAATGCCGCAAAGAAAATCACCCCCCCCACAATGACAGCATTTTCCTACTTACCAAGTCCGAAACGTATTGGAAGCTCCTTGTCTGCTTCCCGTCGCCGTAGACCGTCATCGGCTCCTTCCTCAGCGCCTGCGCGACGAAATTGCTCACCACTCGACCGTCGTCGATGCACATTCGAGGCCCGTACGTGTTAAATATCCGAGCGATCCTCACCTGAGAGTAAGATCGACAAACAAGCTACAGAGACATCCCATGCAGTACAAAAGCACAATGCAAGGTAGGGGAATTAGACGGTATTCGTTTTCACCTCAATGCCAGCACCTCTGTGGTAGTCCATGGTCAGCGTCTCAGCAACCCGCTTTCCTTCGTCGTAGCAGCTCCTCACCCCTGAAACGATCTCCATCCACAACCCAATTGAAAACCGAAAACTCGGACAATGCCACAGACACACTGATCGTCGAGATGAGTTGAGAAAAAAACTCGCTCACCGATTGGATTGACGTTGCCCCAGTAGGTCTCCACCTGAGGATGCTGCAGGGGGTCGCCGTAGACCTCGCTGGTGCTCGTCAGCAAGAACCGCGCCCCAACCCTCTTTGCTAGACCAAGCATGTTCAACGTTCCCGCCACGTTTGTCTTGTGAACCCATAAACCAAACCCCCCAAAAAATCCAAGTCAAGGAAATCGAAATCCTGATGTATCACTTTGTTTGCACCTACTTAACCACAATGTCACTTGGCTCAAATCGAATCGGCCTAAGAAACATGGCCACGGTTCTAGGGATTCACATTCGTCATTAAGCTCGACATTGAGACAACTGAAACACTAAACTTCAATCCTAGGAAACCATGGTCACCATTTTCGTCTGGATATATACTGCACTCAGCTTAGCACTCAATGTGATCCATTGCATGAAATGATTCCATGACCCCAATTGGCAATTAACCCCAGCACACACCCAAAATCACCCAATTCAAGAATCCAAAGAAAGATTCACCCAATCTAACTCACAACTAAACGATCTAACATTTCACACACGGATAACAGTAACAGTAAATTTAGAGACAGTGTAAAAACCAAAGCGCATTCAGTAAAATAAAAAAGGATATGATGGTCTTAACAGGATTGAACTTGTAATGAACAGGGGAGGCAGGGCAAGCCAGGTGGTAGATCTGATCCACCTCCAGCAAAATCGGTTCGACCACATCGTGCCGAATCAGCTCGAACCGGTGGTTCCCGAAATGATGCATCAGGTTCTCCTTCCTGCCCGTGAAGAAATTGTCGATCACAATCACACTGTCCCCTCTCCCAATCAGCCGGTCGACGAGATGGCTCCCGACGAAACCCGCCCCGCCGGTGACCAGGATCCGGTTCCCTTTCCTCTTCAGCCCTTGCGGCACTTTCCCCGTAGCACCCGGCATCTCCTCGATCAGGACCCGCCGGGTAATCGGGTCGGGCACCGCGACCCGGCCCGTATCCGAGGCCTGGAGGATGGTGGTTGTGGTGGTGGAGAGGGGGAATGAGTGGAAGAAGAGGGCGGCGAGGGCGAATCCGGCGAGGAAGCAGGGGAGGCGGTGCTCGCCGAGGAGGTACCGGACGGCGGGGATCGAGCGGCGGCGCGGCGGAGGTGTCATGTTTTTTTTTTTGGGGAAATGGAAATTAGGGAAGGAGGAGGGGAGATTGAAACAGAAAGGAGGAGTGAAGGATTTTGGAGGTGATTTAATGGTGCTGGTGGTGAAGAGGAAGAGGAAGAGGAAGAGGGGGAAAATGCATGGGGGAAATTTTCGTGGCGGTATAATCGCTCGCGCTTGTGTTTCGGGCAGAGGGCGGGGCTGCCACTTGGTCTTGTTTGCTTCCTCCACCTTCCTTTCCGCCTGTTTATTTATTATTTATTTATTTATTTTTATTAATTAATTAAGTTTCTTTGTTTCTGGTTTTTTTTTTTTTAATTCCATCACACTTCCCTTCCTTCCCGCGAAAAAGAAGAGCGTGCCAAAATGAAGATAGATAAAATTGAGGAATGTAAAGGAAATTAGTCACTCTTAACAGTGTGCAATGATTTGATTTGAATGTAGTGTTAGTTTGATCTTTGGTTTTATGAGTTTATTAAAAGTTAAAAGAGGGAAAAAAAAGCAATATAAGATGTGAACAGGATCAAATACACTTACAATTAGTAGAAGATGTGATTGACACAAAATTTTGTTGTTAGAGTTTATATAGCGTAAGAAAAAGAAGTAATATCTTGCGACCTTTTGAACAACGTATTCAACTTTTCTCTTATGTCAGAATAACTCTATCACGATTAAACCAAATTGTGAACCAGGCCGAATTGTAACTGACCACGACCTCGCACTATTAAACCCTTACGATTTTTACTGAACAGATCTTAACAGACCACGAGGTCACTATTAAACATGAATTTTGAGGCAGAACAATGCTTGCTTTTACTAAACAAAATTTGAGATCGATACTAACAACAATTAATTAACTTCATAAATCCGAAGAACCTATACTTCAGTTCAGAAATCGAGATTGGGAAGAAATTCATAGCCAAAAAGTTGTCTATAAATTGAAAAGTTTTTTTTCACATAGCAGGATACGAGCAAATGCAGGAAGCATTTCCAGTTTCTATCCTTGGGCAGGAAAACAGACCCAATTCAGCAAAAGGTGGAGTAGAACGTTAGAAAGGGGAAACAGGCATGGATTTCCTATACACATGAATCTGCCCTCATTTCATGATTCAACAAAGTAAACTCCACTGTTTTATATTCCAAGTATTTAACCTTACGTTACGAGCCCCATACAACGTTGCAAAGGAAACTCAATACTCGTGCAGTCATCACAGAAGTTGGCTTTAAAACAGAGAGTTTCGGCGTGTTCGTTATAGCAAGCTTTTCGTTTCGCACTGCTAACAATTCAAATACACAACACTAGCAACAACGTTTGGTTTATACAACTGATTAGAAACAACAGAGGGGCGATGATGGAACGGGAATGTGATCGGACTAGAACCGGCGAATGTCTTTAGGCGGCTTGAAGTTGACCGGGTGAGTTTCAGGGGTGGCGTTCTCGTCTTGCTTCCACATCTTGATCGTCTTGTCAGCTTCACACGTGATGAGCCTCGAACCAGTTAGGTCGAAGGAGGCAGCATAAATGGCAGCTTCGCTGTCCAATGACCCTGAAAATAGAGGGCAGCACCACCAGGTAATCAGTACCCATTTCTACTTGTTCTTCCGTTTTTCATTTGTGTTATTTTTCTGGTTTAAGAACTTGACTTACCGGGCTGTACGATCGTCTGAGCCTGCTGGAAATTATGACCGCTCTTCCAATCCCAGAACCACAGGCTCCCATTGTCACCTGCAATGATGCGAAAGAGAAGAGAGACATTGTGGGAAGCTGTTTCGAACTAAAGTTCAGTAGCAAAAGTTGGTAATGAGCAGTGACAATACCTCCTGTAACCATTACTCCGTCCTCATTAATCGCCATTGCATTGATTATGGTCTTCTGCTGGGAGCTGCTCAAGAACAAAGTAGTCAAGTAGTTAACTACACAATTCGACTCAACTTCAGACAAATCCATGATGGTTCATAATATATATCCCTAAGCATCCCAAACCAACCCTCAAATTCTAGTAGGGGTGAGAAACTGTACTTTGGTTAAACCATGACCGAATATTTGGATTGGTTACGATTGTTAATCTTTAGAACTTATTTGAATACTGTTTCTGTTCTGCAAATTCTTGTTTCTTTGATTTCGGTTGACCGAAACCAAAACCAATCTACCCTACAAGTCTAAGGCCTATGCAGAATGTTATATAGACAGCAATTTAATTAACTAGGGAATTGGACAACTTACAGCATGTTGTGCAAAAATTCGCCCCTTGGAAGATTGAACTTCTTAATGTTCTCAGCCGATGCAGATGCAAAGCTATGCCTGAGGAGCCAAGTACCAATATTCATGAGAAGCTATTGTCAGAAAGAACCATCACACAGAAAAACTAGAGATATACGAATCACATACTCAGTGGGATGTCGTGCCAAGGCTCGCACTGACTTTTTGTGGTGTGTCAGAGTTGTCATGGTTTTACCTGCCATGAAGGAGATATGACGTAGAAGAGAAATATGAGATAGCGTCGAAGGACAACATTAAGAGTAAATGTTATATTGAAGGATACCAGTTCAACTCACCATATCTGAGATCCCAGAACTTAATGGTTGAGTCATGGGAACCAGTAACTACTTGAGGGTCCTAGAAAGCAATAAGAAGATAAGTAAAAAAACATGAGCATTGCCAGCATTAGAGAAGGGGTAAATATAAAGGACCAAGAGTGTACCGTTGGACGAGTGAAAACAGAGCACACTGTATTATCATGTCCAGCTAGGGCATAGGCTTGCATCTTCGTGCGAATATCCCACACCTAACAAAAGTATATTCATTAATTTAGACACCACACTTATCCGGCATAAGAATAGAGCACAGACAAAATGACATAGTGTATAGCAATCTGGAATGCAGGAGAGTACATACCCTGCATACAGAATCACGCCCCCCAGTGAGCAATAGGTCAATGGTAGGATGAAGAGCGAGGCAGTAGACACCACTAAGATGACCATGGTAAGACCGAATAACCTACAAATAGACGATACATATATAAGCAAAAAGAGCTTCATTAGAGTTTCGATAAGTAAGAGCGAAGAAGAGAAATTATCACCTTATTCTGTTCCAGGTCCCAGCATTTAACCAGTTTATCATCACCAGCAGAAAACATGTAGGTATGTCTTGTGCTCACAGCAAGACCTGAAAACAAATGTTAATACTTTAACCAAACAATGCACATCAAAACAATATCAATCGAGATACCACTAATTTCATCTCATTACTTACCCCGTATTTGTTCGATGTGTCCAGTCAATGTGTACTTTAACTTACCACTGGCCACATCCCATATCTGTTGGCAAAGAGCAAGATTTAGAGAGAAATTCAATCTTACATAGATATAAAGAGATGAATCCAGCAAGTACCAATAAGGTTGAAGAGGATCATGCAATGAACGCAAGACAGTAGGAGGGCAAGAAGATATAGGAACAGAACATGATACCTTTATTGTACGGTCAGCAGAGCCAGTACAAAACCAGGTATTGCTGGGATCAAATGCAATGGATCTCACCCACCCTAAGTGACCGCTAATAACCTGCAGTGCCAATATCATAGTTTCAACATAAATTTTGGTAAAAGCTAAGCGATCACTATATTTGTATATACAAATAACAAAACCATTTTACCCTGTAATTCTTCCAAGGAGCATGCCATTCAGGACGTGGCCATCTGCTTGGGATTCTCTCTATTATTGCAGAAGTAGAAAAGTTCCTATAAGAATTAAAAAAAGACAATTAGCAAGTTAAGATAAGCTCATCAGATTGAAAATACAAGACCAACTTCAGCATCCCTCTAAATTAACATCTCTCCGGAGAAGCACTACAGCTACAAACACATTAAATTACATTAACATACCTTGATGAACTAGATGCAGGAATCACAGTTGTGCTCTTGCCTGGAAGGCCACCCTCATTCCTGATAAACAAACATTGTAGCAATTAGCATCAAAAGTAAACCCTCTGTTCGCTCAAAACATCAGACCAACTAAACAACGGTACTGTAACTGATATGGGTCATCGAATTCTGTAAGCAAATACAAGCGGAAATCCTAAAACCAATACTCACTTCCCCCTAGACTGCAGAGTTGGGCCAACAACAAGAGCATTCTCCGACACCCCCTTTCCTTGATCTCTAGAACCCTCTGGCCCTGGCGAACCAAGATAGCACTCAAAGTAATCAGAAAATATATACATAAACCTCTAGAATATGAGCAGTTAACCAAGTGAATAAGACAGCAGTACCAGGGAGGGCAAGAGCATTGGAAGGAGCTGCAGGCTCCTGACCTCTGGGATTGCCTTGTTTTGGGATATCATTAGTACTTTTGATCCCTTTATACTCCATAGCAACCTGCAGAGTCAACCAAACTTTAAGATTAGACCCCATAACTAAAGAAACCTGCTACTGAATTCAAAGCTCAGACAATACGAAAGCAACGTCACAGCAAAAGAAGTGTTAAAAGCTTCAGCACCGATAAAACACCCGCAATAGCCATACCTAATCGACGAAGTAATGAACCAGACGTTCAACTAACCTTGTGGCTCGTGCGAATTCGTTTACTGAAAATACCCCAAGAACAAACCGCAATTAGATTCAATTTCAAGAGGAAGAAGTTCAGCTACTAGATTGCAGAAGCGAAGAAGAAGAAGAAGAACGAACCTCTCGGGATCAGGAGGGGCGACGTGGCCGTGAGTCGGGGAGAAGAGATCTAGCGACCGTTTTAGGGATTTCAGACTGAGCTTCTTCAGCGACTGCGGCTCAACTGGCTCCATCTCTAGAGCAGTCCCCGGCATTCTCTTCTGCGTCTGGCTAACAGGCGGAAAACCTCGCCGGAGAGTAGCTATTCGGCGGAAGGATAGGGTTTCTTCTCTAGCTCCGCCGACCTGTTGACGAAAGGTGGACGCGGGTATGGCGTTGCCAAAATACGAACGAGAGAATTTGTCTTGCTGCTGCTACGCTTCACAAATTCCGGGTCTAAAAAAGGTTGGTCGCCGCCATTATTTTAATCAGAACTGGATCAGGAAATTTTAGGCGGGCCCAAGAATGGGCTGGGCTTCTAGGCCCATCTTTGTTTTCTTCGAGTCTGGTTTTATACCCGAGCATTGAAGAATTTCTCTATCTTCCATTTGCCATCTTCTATCTCACGACCAGGGAAAAACCCTAATCGGAGAACCAGAGAGGAAAAAGAGCGATGAAACGAGCATCTTCTCTGTTCAGGCTTCTCTCAGCCTCCAGTCGGAGCCGGATTCTTCAATCTAGCCCCGAATTCATCCAAAGCTCCAAATCTCCAGCCGCCATAGTTAGCAGGTACGCTAATCCGACCCGATTTTACTCTTCAGAGTCGGATCCATGGAGTAGATCAAATCCCGAGAAGCAGCAGCGAAGCGATCCATCGTCCCTTGAAGGTGTCGATGTGGTGAGCGATGAAGAGCTGAAGAGGCGAATCGAGAGGTTCTACAACGGGGACGGAGATGCGATCCCGTCGATATTTGAAGCCATCTTGGCGAGGAAGCTGGCCGGGGTCAGCGACGACGAGAATCTGATGAAGGAGCTCCGGGAGAAGTTCCCGATGGAGAATGTGGACAAGGAAGGAGGGTTCGATTTTGATGAGGAGGAATTGGACGACGACGATGACGAGGAGGATCATTAGTGACGACGATTTGGTATTTACAATCAACAATTGTTGTCAATGTTATGGTTTATATTGGTCCAGACCCTTAAATTATAGCAGGGTAGATCGTATATGGCTTCTGCATATTAGAAATTTATACGGCTGCTGGTGTTGAATTATACATTTTGGCTTTTCCGACGAATTATTGCTGTGAATTTCGCCGGCGGAACTAAGGCTGGTCGGTCTGTATACGACTTTTCGAGTTGTACCTTTACTGTTACCGGAAAGTATATTGCTTTGAGTTGAAGTGGAAAACAGAGGACGCCGTTCTGCCTTTCACCGCCGGCGAGCGCCGGTGGATGTCGACTGCTAATTTAACTCTTTAGTTATATTTGATTGAGGAACTTTTGAATTAATGTACATAATACAATCATATGAGTTTGTAACAAAATCACATCAACCTCACTATTCTGATTAATACACATCACAATTATTTTCAGGCAACCTCCTCTCTTGTATTGTATGCTAAACTATTTACAAAGTGAACTATAATGTAACCAAACCAAGCCTTTGAAATGAACAAAAAAAAAACCCCCATAATTGGAAACTCTGCTGTTGCATTAAAGAGGTATCCATCCCTACAGTACAGAACCACATGAAATGAAGGTAAAGTTGTGAGGAAATCAGAGAAACAAAACCCAACAACAGAAAGGAAGAAGAAGAAGAAGAATGAGTCGGTGGTGGACAAACCTTGATAAGTCCTTTCTCAGTACCACAGAGAACAATATCATTGGCACAGAGAAGGCTAGTTATTTTGCTCCCTGCAGATATTCTGCCAACTTTCTGCTGTGTCCCTCTCAGCCAAATCTGCAGGGTTTTTCCCCCCATGACATTAGAGATCAGTTAGCTCCATTTACTCACGATCCTACTAATTATATCTATTACATGATAAAAGACAAGATTTTTAGTGAAAAAGTGATTAACTGCAGTGATCACTTCGCTCAGGCTAAAGTTTAGTGACTATCAATGGTGATTAAAAAGGGATCTATTTACTTGAAGCGAGCTGGTTGAAGAGCTGCAATTCAAGTATATGAAGTCTTCCACAACTTCCATGGCCACCACACTCTTGCCTTTCTCTGCCACCATGGAAACCTGTGGCCTACAGTTTGTTCTCCATTCCTGTTGTTAAATTCATCGCAACTTTCTATGTCAAGTCAATGGAAAAGAGAAAAACAACTGCTTGTTTCCTCTTTTGTAATGCAGACATGCAACTGGGTTTACTATTTAGTACCTTAACTTTTGAACCTTCAACTAACGAGCCAGCAGTATAGAGCCAGTCTTTGTACACTACTATTGAGTTGATGGGTTTGCTTTGCATCATCCAATTCTTCACTGGAGCTTTGATTTCTCTCTCCCTGTTGCTTGTTATGCTGAACTCCTGAATGCTTGCATCCTTGCAGCCCAGGTAAATCTTGCCCTGAATTGAAGTTGTCATGGTTTTCACTTTCTTCGACTTGCATATATCATTGGCTGTTCTAGATGAATCAAAAACCTGGAAAGGTTTCAGCAAGTTCAGGAGTCAACTAACTGGGTTTCTCCACAAACTTAACATAAATAGTCACTAAACTTTGGGATCACCAAGTAAGATGCTAAAACCTTTATTCCATGGCTATGTGTGATGGCAAACACCATGTGACCATACGTTTCCAGCTTTCTTATGGATTCATTTACTGATATGACTTCGATGCATTCAAGCTTCCTTTGCACCATTTGCCAGACCTACAGAAGGGGAGAGATTCAGGTTTTTTTAAAGACACATTGTTCTCGTAATCTTCCAAATCTGTCCTTTCCTTTACGTCCATACCCTTATGGTTTTATCAGCAGAGCCACTGAGAAGACTCTCCCCATGTTCCAACAGTGAGAAACAAGTCACTGCCTTTCTATGTTCTTTCATCTCAAATGCAAGTGAGGCAGTCTGGTCCTTGATTTCCCAAACCTGCTCAATAAGTCCACCAAATAGGCTCTAAATTCAAAAGGGTCTTAGTGTATTTAAATAGATAAAGGGTAAAGTTTCATTTTTTACCTTGATCGAGCCATCTGAATATCCACTGAACAGAAGACCTTTGTAGTAAATGAGGGCAGTCACTGCTCCACTGCGGCTGTGTTTAGCCTCCAGAACTTGCGTGTGCACACAAGAAATCCGCTGTTTTACCGGTGGAAGGAGAAGAATAAGATGAAATTTTGGGTTAGAGAATGAGAAATGTTTTCAAGTTCTGAACTTGGCTTACATAATTAAGTGTTAGAAAAAGTACTGACTGATCTGTTGGGCAAGTAATAGTCAGCCACTCTATGTAGTTCCTCAGCCATCCATGTCACACTGGACAACCTTCTCAATGACTCTCTCACCCCTTCTGAGAAGTTAATAAGCTTCTGCATTCCTACACAGAAGGGAAAATAAGCGACATAAACATACATGACTTCGTGGTTCATGTGATGAATTCGGTGTATTGTTCTTGTTCATTGCTAAAACTGTCCACCATAGGGCTAAGTGATGATTAGTATCATTACCAAATAGATGTCAAATATCTTTTTGGTCTTTACCTTTGCCAGAAGCATAGTTATAAATGCACATACAAGCTAGGAACCTATGTTCAAGCTCCATCCCAGGGTGCAAGAATTGCTCCAATCCACTAAGCAAAATCTCACAGGCAGAGTATCTTATACTATTTGGGTACTTTCCAATCTCACATCCAATCCAAGAAATGGCCGTGAGAGAGTTGAGACGAACCCTCTTGATCTTGCTTCTTAGACCAGTGGCTAGAGCTTGGAACACAGGCTTTCCCATGTCCACAACCCGCTTTGTTATCTTGGCACACCATGGATCAATACCTATGTCCTGAAAATTTCAACATGTTGCCTCATTAATGCATGCAAAACCAAAACATCATAGAATACATGAGATGTTTATAGAAAGCTATCTCCCTTACCTGCAGGGTCTGGTCTAACTGATTGAAGTTCTTCACCAGATTCCTGTGGGTCAACGAGGTCAACCCTCCCTTTTTCACTAACCACACTGACGTGTATGGCTCTCCATTCCAAGCATATGTTCCTCCAATGTTTGCAAGAATGAATGCAGCTAACTGTTGTGATGTGGAGCTTTGTTCATTTGACAGTCCATTGAGGATGACTTTCAATGCCTCTTCTGTGAACATGCTTTTGTTGGATGAGTCTTCCTGCTTTTTACACAAGCAGCCACATATTCATACATCAGGATTTCCAATAATTTAAAAGGGTGATAAAATAGGAAAGAAAAAGAATTCCATCTTGATAATAGGGTTTTGCCTACCAGGGTGTCTAACTGAAGTAACAGACTTGCTGCTAGAAGTTTGTGATCAGTTTCAATTTCTTGTATGCAGTCTAGAAGTATTTGCATAAGGTTGCTGCTGCCAAATATTCCTTTATTTTTCCCTTGCAATAAGCTGGTAGCTGATGATCTGATAATACAAATAAGGTTTAGGGCTTTCTGGGTTTCTTGTAGCAGAAGAAAGAAACCAACTTTTGCAGTGAAGTTTCTGCACAAGAATTACCTTGGAATGCAAAGGATTTCCTGGAAGAACTCAAGAGCAGAAAGCTTAGCCCTCTTCTCCTTTCTCTGTAATAGACATGCGAATGCATCTAACGGAACAGATTCCGATATGTATCTCCTGCAATCTCCGCCAAACTGCATGCACTTTACAAGAATCCTAGCCAATGACACCACATGCTCATCAAAACTGCCCATCTTTGCAACTTCCACAAGCCTCCCTAAAACTTGAGGAGAGTTGATAGATTCCAGGTGCATATTATTCGTATCACAGTCGAATGCAGTAACCAAAACCTCCATGATCATCAGTGATGCTGCAGGAGGTGTCAGCACAAGCTGGCATGATCTCATCGTTGTCGTCAGCATTGGCTTTGAACAAGTGCAGACAACTTCCACCAATGCTGGTAGGAGTTCAAGTGTCTTGATCTCAGTTGGAGATGGGTTTATCAAGTAGATGAGAATGGCTGCTTCATGAACCTTTTGTTTGAGAGCAGTAGCTAGATTGTATAAGCTCAATCCTTTTCTCTTGATCTCTTCCACAGCCGAGTTATTGACTAGTACTATAGTTGAGAGGATTGAGACTGATGCTCTTATTACTCTTTCTTCCTTGGACGTTGAAATTGCTACTAATAGTTGATCAAGGATCACATTTTTAAGCATGTTGTACTTCACTCCCCTTTTCTTGCTCAGCATTTCATAGATGGTTGTGACTTGAATTGCATAGTCATAGTCTTCTTCTTCTTCTGAGAAGCATAGCCTAGAAATCGCCTTTTCGAGTAATAGGACTAGCTCAGTTTCAGAACCTTGTTCATTATTATGCATTGCGAGTTGGCTGCTGAAGTCTCTTCCAGTAAGCAAATTCTTCTTCTTTTTCTTGTGTTTTTTCTTCTTGTCCTTCTCATTCTTCCCCATCATGCCTCTTCTCAGGTCTTCCATGGTGATTCTCCCATGATGATCATCTTCTGCATAGCAACTCAACAAAGAATCTGTCTTTCTGTCTCTATGTCCAACGGAACAAACTATTCTGCCAGAAGTGATTTTAGGCTTTTCTTCATTTACCAGTAGAGGAAGTGATTTATATTCACATGGGTTAACTAAGCTGAACTGATTATCTTCACTTCCCTTGATATATCTTATTGAGCCTTCATTAATGGTTTCCTGATTCACACAGCCAAAAACAAACTTAGAAAAGCTTAGAGAGACTTTCAAGTTTGCAACAACACCAAGTAGCAATAAGTCCACAATTACCTCAGGGTGATCACCACCTTCTTCCACATGATAGTTGCAGCATGAACTTACTGAAGTAGTCTCGGTATCTGATTCGGATTCCATCAGTACTTCCTGCAGGCTTCTTGTGCTTTTATCCTTTCTAAATGTATCCTTCTTGACATCCAACTTCTGAGGTTGATAATCCTCAACTTCTTCAATTTCACAGCTTTGTGAATCAAATGGATGCACCTTCTCATACTGGACTAGCTTCTGTAATGACAAAGAACATGAAAAATGGTTAATTAGCTTCTGCAAAAGTCAATGGAACAGTAAAAATTCATCAGGGTTTTGTTTTTCCCAGTTAAAGCCTCACATTACAGTAAGTTTCCAAAGGATCATTTCTCCAGCTCAGCAGTTGCCTGCAATTGGAAACCAGAAACCAGAAAGCAAAAAATCATCAATTGATTAATTAATATGACACCATGAATCAAAGTCAGAACCTTTTTTCTCTAACCCACCTAAAGGATTGAGGTTTATGTTCAACGGAACCTTTCCCAACATCTCCATACAACATCACCTGATAATACATCAACCTGTGCTTATACCTTCTAGCCATCCTCCTCACATCCTCGTCATTGCAAGATTCATGAAAGAGGTCTTCACAAACACGAGGAGCGAATTCGACCCTAACGAGCCTCGGAGAGACCATTACCGCCTGGAAGAAGTGGAGGGCAACCTGCCATTCATCATTCTGCAGCTTCTTCACAACTGACAGAAAGAAGTATGAGCAGCAGATTAAGTACTGGTTGTGAATTCCAGCTGTGACACCATCCTCTTCAAGCAATGCAGGAACTTGAAGCATTGATTCTGCCTTCTTCAACCCGCTTGTTCTTCCCTCCTCAACTTCCTGTGCCTGCATTGCTGAGTCAATGGCTTCAATTCCCCAGTAGAGGTTTGAGATGACCGAGTGTTCTGAGAGTTCAAAATGGTTCTCCTGGTTTTGCTGGACAATGTTGCTGAGCCTGGAAGTGGAAGCTGACTTGAGGGAATTCCATGATGAAGGACTGGAAATGAGCTGGTGAATGTGGTCAGTGATGGATGACACAACTGATTTTGTTGATTCAATGTCAGGTGTCTCTTCATCATGGGAGGAAGAGATGGAAGAAGCCATGGAAGAAGGAAGGAAGGAGGAGTAGAGCTTGGCTGTAGAAGTGTCAGATGTTCATGAAGGTGGAAGATGACAAATAAAGATGTGAAGTTTCCTCCCTCCTGAAGTGGAAGAGATAAGAGGGAAACAAGGAGATGGAGATGGAATTTTGATCAGAGAAAAGGTTTGCTTCCATTTTGTCTGTTTATCATCACTGTTGTCGTTTGTCACTAAATGGCGTGACTACTTATTTAATTCAGTTCCAGCACCGGTTAACATATTATTGGAAGTTTAATTCGCGTTAATTATTGAGCTAAATTTCAGTTATGTATTTCTAATTTTTTTCTCTAACTTAAACTTCGGAGAGTGTTCAAATTTACCTCGTTGGTAAAATTATTAGAAGAATCTATCTCCATCCTCGTGTCAAGAGAATAATGGTGTATAAGGAAGGATGAACTTCCAAAAAGGGATGAGCTTGGAACTTGGAAGGACAGAAAACAACAACTGACTATAAACCCGTGACTGTTTGCAGCCAAGATTTTCCAGAGTTTCGATGGTCCCAAATCCCTTTCTTTCCACTCCTCAAAACAACACTGTTGGCTTCAGGACAAACATCAACATTGACCTAACAGACACAACTGATTATGGCGGGAAAATAAGTGGCAGGCAAAAAAAATGGCAGAACCATGTCCAAGGCACCATTATACACTTCATTTTCAGTGTCATTAATGATGATTAAGGTTGGTAGAATACATGAATTCCGAGAAACTTTATATACGTCACTAATCGAGTGCATGTAAGTCGTAGAAATTATCATAAGGCAGCAAACAATTTTTGGGTGGATTGCTCATACATTTAGTCATGACATAGTTACCCTCGAAGCAATCTTCTTCTAGTTTTAACTCTCGACACCTTGGTTTGTAACCAGTGACTCCAGCTTTCTGTCATTCTCTAAAGACAGACTTCTACACATAAGTTCCCCAAGGTAAGTAGGTTGCTTGCAATTTATCCCCCTTACCAGGGAGTTGGGGAGGGACATTCTTTTCATCCGACCACTGCCCATAAGAATTTATGTACTGTCGAAATTGTTTGGTTTGGAAGGATTGTGATCAAATTTTTGAAATCTTTATACAAATATTGTTCGAGATCATAAGACCCGTAATCCGATGCTTCCACTAGACTGGCCAGTATACTATAGAATTCAATTCACCCTCATCTTACATGGAGTCTGTCTGAATAACATAATTTTCGTACCAAACCATATAATGCAGAAATTCATGGATTAGTAGGCAGAGTATAGGCTTGTGAAACCAACCATAATCGAGGTTCCTATTATACTTGAAACAGGAGAGCAGCCACCTTTTGTATTATTAGGCTTATAGAATTAGCCCTATGATAATGGAAGGTTTAGCTGTATTAGTAGGCAAAGAAAATTGGACAAGGGAGTTTTTGCTATTATTGGCTGCATGCATAGCTATTACCTAGGCATGCTTTGTCTTTTGATTAGATGTATGATTGAAATTATTTTGGCACAACCATTAATCTTCTAATCTTCCCACACTTGCTAATTCAGCAGGTGGAAGGACACTACCAGACATTAAGGAAAAGGAAGAAACCCACCTGTCTTCTTGTGTCATGGGAAGAACAATAGAAAATTGTGTGTGTTGGATTGAATTCTCAAGACTTGGAAGAAAAACAAAACCATTAAATACCACTCAATGGAGATGATGAAGTACAAGGGTCACTATGGTAATTGTCATATTTAGGATGATGGGCCCTATATGTGTAATCATCGATATTATGTTAGATTATCGAATAACAAGAACCATTTCAATTTTATCTCCTATTATTTTCTCTATATAATCTCTTCCTCTTTTACGTCCAGTTATTCTTTCAAAAGATCTCAAAATAACGTTAAACATGTTTGAACCTAATTCTATCGAGAGTTATAAGTACGTCTAAGACCCATCAAGAATTGAAAGCTCACAAAACCTATCAACGACACAATGCACTTCAACTCATCTTTGGTCCGGAGCCAATGGCCCCTAACCAAAACCCTTTATAAGGATACCTTTCCGCCACCAAAACGTTTCGTCTTTGTCGGTGTGGTTCATATTTGAAAACTATACATGAATGAAAAATGAATAAGATTTAAGATATGTTTTCTGAATTTATATAATCAACGAAGTAATATAGGTAAATGAAAAAGAAATGCTTTTATCTTAATATACAAGTGAAACAATGCATTATTGTCATCACTTCTTTTGCTGATTAATTAAGTGACCACTATCAACACTGTCCATACTCTTTTTCCATGAAAAGAGAGCATCAACACCCCCATCCTTTTCTGCCATTATTGTGTTCCATTTCACCTCTTTTTTCTCTCAATTCTAGACAACCTCAGTTTCCATACAAGCCAAAGGGAAAGGAGTGCAGATTGTCCTTTGCCACAAATGAACAGTTCCAACACTATAGAGAAAAAGCATATAGAGCTTCACCTTGCTGCTGAGATTGATTGAACCAACTGACATATGTGTTTTATAAGTACAGTGGAGGGCCATTTCCCTGAATGGCAAAAAGGCCTTTTCTTCTTTTCCCTCTTCCATCTTTTTGCATTACAATGTTGGTCCATTGAAGGCATAAACTCTCCACTAATGAGTTTGATGATCATGGAAAAGTTAATAAAACAAAGTTATCAGCATTGGAATATGGAAGTTGAAGCCATGTGGGACTCTGCTTTTTCATCCTTTTGCTTTTGTGGAGAGCTTCATTGGGAGCAATGATTGATCAGATTAATGCAGGACAATACCCAACCTCAGCTTATCTTGCTAGCCAACAATTTTGGAAGTTGTCATGAAAGGGACAGGGACAGATCGAGGACCTCCCATGGCTTCCCAGCTACTGAAGTCATAGAAACATACTGTTCGATGAACTCTGAACACTGTTCCAGTCCAACAACTCGGTTAGCATGCTGATGATGGGTCTAGGCGTCCTTTGTATAAACGTTGAGGCAGACAAAATCCTATTGAATTTCATTCGGAGGAGGAACCTTATAAAGATCGTATTGATTCTTATCAACGAAAGACGGGATTAACCGACACTAAGATGGAATAGACTCACCAATACGCTTAACCTTCTACTACTCGTCGTTTTGCTTACACATAAAACCCTACGGTTTGACTACATTGGATGCAAGCTTTTGTAAGTAATGTGCATGCGCGTGCATCCAACGATTAAGGATCATGGATGCATGGTCCAATGATGTGACTAAGGCATAAGCCTCCGGTGGCAGCGGAGCGAAGGCCAATGGATTGGGTTCTCGGGATTAGAGGTGGCAATTCTCAATCCAATCCACCAACCTATTAAAAATATCCACCTAATCCAATCCATTTAAATCCAATCCATTTGATCCAAATCCAATTGGATTTGTGGATTTATGGATCGATCCATGTATCCAAATCAAAAATTACGGTTTGGTACCTATAATTTTTATATATTACATTTTGGTACCCAAAATTTAATTTTTATATGAAAAATATCAATGGAAAATTACATTTTGTGTACCTAAAATTTTTCATTATGACATTTTAGTACATAAACTTTTCACTTTTTGCAAATTGGTCCTTTGGTTGAGGATGTCATTTGGATGCATAGATAATCCACCAATCTACTTGATCCAATCCATGAATCCATGAATCAATTGGATCCAATCCATTTGATCCATGAATCCACCAATCCAATCCACCAATCCATGGATCAATCCATTTGCCACCTCTCCTCGGGATCCCACTTGAGGACAATTATGAGCTGAAAAATGCCTAGATGTTCATTGTCAAATGGACTCAGGTCCCTACCATGAATCATCTGATTCACGATTCAACATACTAAAAGCAGCTTGACGTGTCTCTTCACCTTCGCTCCCGTCTATCTCACTTAACTCAGGATTCAATGGTTTCGAGAGAATTGAAAAACAAGTCGGTTGAGGTCTATCTCACTTAACTCGGGATTCAATGGTTTCGAGAGAATCGAACAACAAGTCGGTTGAGGTGAAAATCTCATGTACGGTGGTAAAAAGTGACCTACACATATGTCAACTTCACTATCGCGCTCCCAAAAAACCAACCTCTGCACCCCCCCACTCAAATTCAGATCTGACTACGCTTATGTCAACCTCTTAACACACTCAACACCACCCATCCAAACTAACAGATGGTGTAAAAAAAAAAGGAAGTAACAGCTACAGCTTGTATGTGGAGTCAAACAAGAAGCCAAAAAAGAAAAGGCTTGTCCATGATCAGTCGCTAACCCTGGGATTCCCATGTTGGGGAAATAGAATAATATTAATTTTATCTGTACAAGATGTGGACTGGACAGCCAGGATTTGATGGCCAATTGGCCATGAATTATCAAGAACAGAGAGAGAGAGAGAGAGAGAGAGAGAGAGAGAGAGAGAGAGAGAGAGAGAGAGAGAGAGAGAGGCTATGTTACAAATTTTATCATAAAGATGGGGATTTTGTCTGTCACGGGCAGTAGGACTCAAAGAACAACATCTCCGGCGTTGCGGCTGGTGCTGCTGGTTGGATCGAGTGGTGTAGAATGGATTGGATAGACAGTTCAAAGAACCAGACATATCATCATCCTTGAGTAGTTCAGCACCTCTCTCTTTCTGCTGAAATGACAATCGGTGCTTCTCTACAGAAAACAAAATGACCCAAACACCCGACCCGACCCAATCTGAACCGATCCAATCCAAAACTCAATCAAAACTGCGCTATATGGCTGGATATGGGGTCCTGATATCAAGGTCCAGTGACCAAAGCAAATCATAAAAGAAACAATTTTTCAAAGTACGTCGCCGTCGCGGTTTTGTGTGTTCATTCAATTCTAATTTACTCTTCTTGCAATTTGACTTTTGGGTACATAAACCAACAACCACGACTCTATCTCACAACTATAAACACTTAAATAAATTAGGGCTGATTCCACTAGGAAGTCCAAACTATTCAAAAAGTGTCATTTGTGATCTAAACTATTCAATTTGACAAATATGGCCCAAATTATTTTTTTTTTGTTAATGTTGACCGAAGTTGACCGTTAGAAGATCATAGAAAATGTAGTAAGCTTCTATCTGGTTTGGGCCATATTTGTCATATTGAATAGTTTAGGCCACAAATGACACAAAATGCATATAGTTTGGGTCAGATTTGTCATATTGAATAGTTTAGACCACAAATGATACTTTTTAGATAGTTTGGGCTTCCTAGTGGAATTAGCCCAATAAATTATTAGTGCTTGTATTCCGAGGAACACAAGATGAAGCACAAATCTTCATTTATATTACATCAACTACAATGCTAAATGCTCTATAGAATACCTGCAAAGTGAGACATTATACAAAAATCAGGCACCCCAATTACTATTCATATTCTAGACTATGCCTATGTTTGGCACAACTTTTAGAAGTGTTTATAGGTTTCAAAAGGTGAAGCAGGGCCAAACACTTCTAAAAGTTTGGTTTTTGAAAACTCGAAAAGCGCTTTTGTATAACATAAAAGCAGAAGCTCAGATTTGTAGCATCTGCGAAAAACTATTTTGAAAATACAAGATTATCTTTACCATATTTTAATTTTATTTCATAAAATATAACTTTCTTTTATTTATATCATTATAAAATCATGTTATTTAATATAAAAGAAATCTAACAAGATCCATTTTGACTAGTTTTTATTGTTTAGAATTTTTATTCATAGTTTATATTATAAGTCTATAGTCATTTTACACAACCACTCATATTAAAAAACACTTCCAATAAGTTTCCAGTCAAACACTCAACTGCTTTTTTTTTTTAAAAGTGCTTCTCTAAAAGTTCAAGCCAGAAGCTGCTTCTGCAAAAGGTACCGCATGGCCAAACTAGCCCTATATATGTTGATGCTTAGTCAAGGGAGAGTAAGAATTAGGGATTTTAGGGGGGGAAGAAAATAGATGTTTGGTGATATGTCATGGCCTCTCGCGTGTCGGACAGTCCTTAATCCTCATTTACTCGTAATATACAAAAGATACAGATTGATAGTCGTTGACGACGAGGGAAGAGCGTGAAAAATAATATCTTGAGTATTATTATATCGACCATGAATCTCTTCAACACGAAGATCAATACTAAATCTATATTTCTTACAATGACGACACCAACAAGAGACACCGTACAAAAACCACGTACCGAGACCACCTATATCGCGAAAGTCTTATATATAATGACAAAATCATAGCTTTCTTTACATGTAAAGATCCCGAAAAGAAACATGGGAGGGTACATAATTAGCTATGACTTGAACTTGGGGCCACGATTTAAAGGGAGACGGCAACTCAAGCTTGCTGAGTTTTCCAGTCTCGGGACAAAACACGAAGGGGCACTCCTTGGACTTAGACAACGAGCACTCACCTTCCTCATCAACCCCACTGCTAGTAGAATCAGGCAAGGAAAAGAAGTTCAAATTCCTCTGCATCCCAGCAAAGCTAAGCGTGCTCGTTTCAGTAGGAGGAGGCTTCCTAACAAGTAACAATTTGGTGCAGAAACCCATCAAATAGTACTTCAAAAGCACCCACATCTCCCAGCCTGATGTACTTGTTCTTCTTGGACCATCATCATAAACGAGGAACAGAGCAACTATCGATTCCTCGTGCTTCTCTGGCCAGGTCGAATAAAGTGACACATAAATCCCTCTCCCTCGGCTGCCACCAATACAGCTTCCCCTCGTGGAATTGCGGGGCTTGGCCGGAGGGGAGATTCGCCCAATCGTGAACCATCCTCCTCCACCTCCACGAATCGTTCCTCAGACTATAGATCCCCAACTCATTATTACAACTCCGGCCCCATTCACTCCTCCATTCACATTGTATAACGATTTTGTAGTCATTCGTTGCCGAATCGAAACCAAATCCAACAGTGGGCGAATCGTCCTGGTAAGTGAAGAAAGGGTTACCTGGAACAACCTTGGTTTCAGAGGTGGCCGGGTTCCAGAGAATCAGATCCTTTTGGTTGTTGTCGCCGTCGGCGATGCAGAACAGGCTGTTACAGTAGCCTGCAACTTTCGGGCGCCTGGATTCGTCGTCGGAGAAGAACTGCTGCTGGACGGCGCAGGAGAGGAGGGGCGCGGCGGCCGGCGAATGCCGAGTGTAAACTGGTGGCCTGAATTTTTCGCCGAAGCACTGGATCAAAGGCAGATTTGGAGACGCATCGGAGAGGAGATCGCGCCATGATTTGGAGACGCATCGGAATCGGAAGATGCACTTGCCCAAAGGGAGCCTCCGCAGGATATCGTTGGTCAGATCCTCAGGTATTCCGTCGTTGTGCATAGCGCCGCTGAACTGAAATACGGGCTGCTTCTTCTCGTCTATAAAACCTAGAGCAAAAGTAGGTATTTATAGGGTAAATCTCATAAATTCTTTTCCTTAAACTAATAATTCTAAACCTAGGTAAAATGGGGAGCAGATCTGGTCAATAATCTTCTGGTCAATAATCATACATAATCTAATTAATTTTCCCTTGTTAATCTTTGACGGACGATCTTTAAATCGTTATAAGTTGAAATTTAATTTTTTTACACAGTTAGATCAAATTAATTGTGTTTTTCAAAATGATATCCACTTTGATATATTTTTGGAACAAAAAAAAATTGGACCATTTTTTACGAGTCTATACCATATGGTATTGACTGGAATTGAAATAAAAACATATCTATGGTTTGAAAAGCATACCATGGTGGTATGAACAAACCAAGACGGTAAGATGGTTGAATACATGATAGTAGAAGTATATTAACTGTTATTTACGACTTTTAACATTGTGTACCACAAGATACCACCTCGTACCAGAGTGGTATTATGTGGTATTGTGTGGTATTTTTGTAATTTGTTCACCCAGAAATTTGTAGATCTAATAGATCATGATGAACTCGTTCGTTCTGTGCAAACGTTTTCAAAAACGAATTAAAACCGAAGAAGATACCATATGGTATGCAGTTGGTACCGAGAGGCAAGAATATTTTTTTTCCTCAAAAAATATTAAAAATGGATCTTATTTTGTAGAGCACAACGAACTCGTTCTATTTGTGTAAAAAAATGGAAATCCGAATTAAAACAAAACCAAATCCAACAGTTGACGTTGTGTAACGATTTTGTAGTCGTTTGATGCTGAATCGAACCGTTGTAGAACCTTCCTGGACACTATAGAAAGGGTTGCCTGCAACAATCTTGGTTTCAAAGGTGGCAGGGTTCCAGAGAATCAAATCCATTTGGTTGGCGCAGTCGGCGACGGCTATGCAAAACAGGCCGTTGCAGTATCCAGCGAATTTCGATTCGTCGTTCAAGAAGAACTGCTGCTGGACGGAGGAGAGGAGAGGCGCGACGACTGAGTCGGGCGGCGACTACAGAGTGCAAACTGGTGGTCGGAATTTATCGCTGAAGCACTGGATCAAAATTCGTCTAGAAGAAGGAGGAGAAGAAAGCTTGCGCCGAATGAAAGAGAGATCCGAGAGGTGATCGCACCATGATTTAGAGACGCATCGGAATCGGAAGATGCACTCTCCTAGCGGGAGCCTCCACAGGATATTGGTGGTCAGATCCTCAGGTATTCCGTCGTTGTTCATAACGCCCCGTTGAACTGGTTCATTTTTCTCAATACGTATAGCAAAAGTACATATTTATAGAGTAAATCTCATTAATCATTTTTCATCTAAACAAGGTCAACTAATCCTAAACTAACAAGTAAACGATAGCTTCCAAAGTATCCAATCGAATCAAGTGTATGGAACTACAAGTTTTTCAGTAAGAAGTTGAACCGTCATTAATGTCCAGGCAAGTGAGAAACCACCTCTCATCTCAACCATTCAATGGTTCGCATGCCAATCCTTTGCGAGGTTGAATCTACTCTGTTGAAATCAACGAACTGTACCTTCCATCATACGCAACTCGTAATTTCTCATAGTTTGAAATCGGAGTAGGCCAGAAGTTAACCTTAGGCTGAAACACAAAAAATTTATATCGTATATTTGTCTGGTCAACGAATAACTCCGTCTTCTCCCGCCTCAGATTACACGAAAAGAGAGTCGTCGTATAACGAAAAGGCTTATAATGACGAATCGAGTATCGTAGAAAGATAACCTCGGGCTTCTCTGGATGTTGACCAACTACACTACCCTTGCCCCAGTCCGAGCTCTTGATTTCAGGGATATTACCAAATAACTTATTCAACGACACTTGATAGTGTCTCCTCCAACGACGACCTCCTTCGTCTTCTTACCATCTCCACACACTCAAACTATCCTCTGTTCTGGCCCAATACAATGGAGAAATCAAGTGCAGAGCAGCTTGCGAGGAACAAACCGCTGAACAACCTTCGACCTGACCAAAAGAATCCATTAAAATTGGAGCTTCGTCATCATTATTATCATCTAGTCGGCTGTAAGGATTCCACCCAACAACGACTGATTTCCTGTCATAATCCTTCCAGTACAACTTCCCATTAAGCGAAACAACATCATAATCTAGATCCCACCGTGGAATTGAAGCACAGAGAGCAAGTTCCATCCACTCCCCTGCTTCCGAACAGAAAACGTCTGATTCTCGACCATATCGGTGCAAGCGCACCACGAAAAACCGATAATCGGAGTGATGGGTGAACGGCTCTTCCCCACCGCCGGCGACGCCGAAAAACAGAGTGTTGATGATCGAATTACAGGGCTTGCACACCAATCTTGCTGTAATCGCCGTGGAGCTAGTTTTTGGCGCCAAAGGAAGGGCCACCCACTGCTTTGTGAACGGATTGCATACCAAGAACGTCCTTCTCAGCTCACCGTCGGGATTCCTCCCGCCGTTCCGATCCGCGAATTGGACCAGGAGCAAGTCCCTGAAGCAATCCGCAACGAAGGCCTGGAAGGGGATTTCGTCGCTGGGCACTAGGAGAAAGATCCAGATGGGTCCCCGGACGGCGGAGGATATCAGGAGAGGCCGGTTCGAATCAGGGGTGGGAAAGGAAGCGGCGAGAGAAGGAGGGAGTGGAGAGGAGGGAGTACCATCGCTTGCAGACGGATTTGCACCGCCAGGCGGATTTGGTGTCCGAGAGGCGACAAAGGAATTCTGCGAGTAGATCGTGGTCCCCGAGTTTGCTGATCCCCGCCGGAAGGGAAATAGCTAGCGTTTTCCGGCGGCTATCCTCGGTCGCCATTGTTGCTGTGTGCTGGCGAGGAGATTCGGGTACAAAAACAGGGAGCGGAGACCTAGACCCAACAGAAAGAAGAAAAAAAGTCCCCATTTTATTTGTATGCCTGATTTTTCCTAATCGCCGTGGGTAAAGGGGCTTATCCAAGCTATTAGGCATGGGCTTATCGAGTATCCCAAAAATTTATCTAGCCCAATCCTTAAAGCGATCCAGCCCACATTACTGGACGCTAGGTGCAAGTTAGAGCAACTCCATCCCAGATTGCTTATTGCTATTGCTTTTGTTTATTGGATGGACAAAAAAACTCAGGAATTGGAATTCCATTTCCAATTCTATTTGATTATTCCATGTTTGGAATAGTAAGAAGGTTGACAATTGAACTCCATTTGACCCAAATATTGGAAATTAGAATTCCTATCAAAAGTTATAGGAATTGGGTTTATGAAGATGGAATTAGTGAGACCCATTCATCTTTATTATTATTTTATAACTCCACTATCTTATTCCTCTCTTTCTCTCTCATCAGTATTTCATTTCTCAAGATAAAAAAATCTACTAAATCATTAATGATTTTTAAAGAGTACAATTCATTTCCATAGTTGTCGAAATTATGCCAAACACAAATATTGGAAATGGAATTCCATAAAAGTTAGAATTGGGAATGAAAATCCATTTCCATTTCTTATGGAATTATATCCAAACAGGCGGTAAGCAATTGCAAGAATGTAGTACTTCTTTCTTATTTAGCAAGATTGCTAAATAAGCAATCCCTTTTGCAATGTAACATAAGCAATTGGGACCACACACTCAAATTCTTTCTTTTTTTTTTCTATCAACTTTGTACACATAAATTTTTACACTTAATAATCCTTGTGCTTGTGATTTTTTTAATTTATTAATAAATTAAAATCATAAATTATGTTTTAATTATATTGAACATGAAAACTTAACACAATGATGTATAATTAATGGTTGAACATCCATACACAAAACTAGAAAGAAATCATACTAAAAGTACACACCATTCATATCATGTAATTTGTTTTGATTTTTTGTATTTCATTATGTAATTTTTCCTTATTTCTATTTTGTGTATGCTATGTATTTTGTGTTTATTGAATTTTTAAAAGTCTATAATCTATTATGCAAAAATATTGTTGAGAAAAAGAATATGGAGTAGGTCCCGTAAGGGACATAGGTGGTTTGAAATTGTTGAATTGAATAATTGCTAAAGTTGGTGATGTGAATGTGGGGTCTATTTATGAAATGGCTAACCTGTTGCAGGGATGTAGATGGTCTTACTCCCTACAGTGATTTTAAAACATATCGCCAGCGACTTATAACGGCTCAATCTCTACCGCCGATTATAAAACAAGACGTAAAGTCGTATCAAAGGTATATCTTATGCTAAAATCGTGATTCGACCGTTTTATACAATTAAAATCAATAATCAGTTTAAACTTTTATAGAAGATTTTTCAGATTAGATGGTCGATTCGATTTTACAAATACTATTATAAAGATGGAGCGGGGAACCGCATGCGCAGTGAGCAATGCGTCAAAGCACAGAACAAGAAAGTGCCAAATTATTGTGTTGCCATTGCATGCATGATTTTAGGTCTAAAGTGGCTCTCCGAGTATTCAATTGGGTTCCTTAGTGTTTAATGTTTTTTTCCCCTTGTCTTGTCTTTCTAAGAACTTTCTTCCAAAGAACATTATCTGTCAGCACGTAGACGGATCCATAGTTAGTAAATACTCCGTTTAATACACGTATATGTACCCGTACCTACTTTATCCGTTTAAAACTTTCGTATCCGTATTATTGTCAAGCCGTTTCATTTTTTCCGCTCATTGGATGGCTCCCGTACTAAACACGTATAAAACCCGTATAACACGTTTAATATCCGTATTTAATGAATTTAAATTGTGAACTTTACTATTATTTATATATATATATATATATATATATATTTATTTTTAAAATAATTTATTTTTTATATTTATTAGTATTAACGTATTATTAAACGTACCTTTAGCTTAGAGATGACGTAAAATACCCGTACGTATTTTTTACGTAACTTTCCCGTACCGTATTTTACTAACTATGGACGGATCCACATCACGAAGGGAAACCCCTCTCAAATCCGAAAAGTTAATCTGCTAACTTGAAAATTTGTTAGCAGATACTAATTGATATCCAAAATATATAAACTAGTATCCAAGTACTAAAATATCTAGAGAGCACAGACTAGTATTCAAAGTTGCTAAATGATATCCACCATGAATCAACTATTATCCCAAATTCACAAACTAATATCTAGACAACACAGAATAGTAGCCATACAAAACATAATTAATATCCAGATAACACATATGAGTATCCGTATTGAATACTAGTTGGTTGATTGTGGATATTAGTTGGTATATGTTATCTGGATACTAGTTTGTGATGTTTTGAATACTAATTTGTGCTATCTAGATACTTTAGTAAAATCAGAAGACTTGAATACTAGTTTATACATTTTGAATATTAGTTAGTATATACTAACAACTTATGCAGTCAGCAGAATAACTAGGCTGCCCCAAATTATAAACAAAGTATAACCCCAAAATTCATTGGCGAGCTAGAAATATAATTTAGTGGGGTCCAAACTTAATAACATGTGATGTTTGTCTCAATGGTAAAATTACCATCTTATGAAGATGAACCCCACATTTTCTCACCTAGCTCTGCCAATGCCAAAATTACATCCTTCTTTTCTTTTCTCCTAATCTTTGTCCAGCGAAGACATAGACATCGTTCAAACACCACAAAATAATTACATTTGAAGATCAAAATTTACTGCATTAATAGGATACAATGCAAACATCATTGTTGAATCTCGTCCAATGTTGAACTTGAAGCGCACCCACCCGACAACAACGAGATTTAAACTTAGGAGTCGTTTGGTTTTGGTGATAGTTTGGTTGAAATAGTTACAATGCATGAAATGTTCATAATGCATTTTTTTTTTAATTTTGTGCACAAACAATACATGCATTGTTTGCTTGATGTGACATAAACTATCACTCAAAACGAGTGATAGTTAAATCTCAAGTTTTCGGTGAGATTATTGTGTTTTTTTTCTTTTTCCAACTATGTCCCTACTTTTTTTAAAGTGTGTTGCTTTTTTATATTAGAAACAAAGGGTAAAGTAATATAATTTGTTTAAATACTACAATAACTATCACAAGAACCAAACGATGTAAACTACAATACACCAAATTTGTTATATACATGCATATTATTCTTAAAAGAATTGGAGTTTTACTGCGATGTTAAGAAAATCAGGATGGGTTGATTTTGATGATAGTTGAATTGATGTATTGTTGCAAAACCCAAATTCTGGTAAAAATAATAGGAAGAAGATCCGTCTCAAATTTGATAATTAAAACTTCAATTAATTAAATTCAAATCTACTTCCCCACCCCTTCTTTCTCCAAACAGTAAAACGGTAAAAAAAAAAAAAAAAAGTGGCGAGAAGAAGAGAAGAAAGAAAAGTAAAACTAATTCCCTCCTTTTTATACTCCGCCGCTCCTCCTTCCCTCCAAACCGCTTCCCCTCTCTCTCTCTCTCTCTCTCTCTCTCTCTCCCACGAAAAAATGATGGGAGGACCGGAATACTACGACCCCCGACGCCACCACCACAATCCCCCCGCCGCCGTCGGCGGCGGCGGCGGACCGCCACACGGGATCATCCTCGCGGTGGTGGTCTGCATCGTGGTCCTCGCCCCGTTCGTCTTCGGCGACCAAGGGGAAGCGATCACCGATGGCATCGCCGAGCTCCTCAGCCCGCTCGGCCTCCTCCTCCTCCCGATCGTCCTCCTGCTCGCAATCCAGTTCCTCTCCTCCCAGCGCGGATCCTTCGTCGCCGCGGTCTTCTCCGCCGGTGGCGGCGAGCCGGAGAGCTTCCACCGCGTCAGCGGGTCCCCCGTCGGCGTCGCGCTCTTCCTCTTCCTCGTATTGTTCCTGCTCTACTACCGCGTCTCCATATTCGGCGGCGGCGATGACTCCGGCGATTGAGGTGGGGGCTTTTTTTCGATTGAGGTGCGCGGTGGGGCCCGCTGGATCTGAAGCTCGATTGGTCCTTTTCTCTTTTTTCTAGTCAGGGGTTAGCTTTTTGGTTTATTTTTATTTATTTACTTTTTGGATCGCTGCTTTGATTTTTGTTTGTTCATTTGGAGCTTTCCTTTTGGAAGGATCGTGGAGTAGATACTGCTGGTGAGTTTGTTTGAACGTGGACTCGACGACTCGTGGTTGGGGAGGGGCAAAACTGTAAAATGCCGTGGTTTTATCATTTATGGTAGTTTTTTTTTGGTGATTGCATAATTTAATTTTCGACATTAATGAACATAGTTAAATTTAAAGCTGTTTGACTCAATGATGGCTCTTTGTAATCTTTATGGAAGGAGTAGCTGTGGCCACAGATCTTGATGATGGTAGTATTAATCAAATGTTCAAATGAGAAATTGGAAGGTCTAGAAGGGTAAGATATTCGTGTGAAGCGTACTTGAGTGGCTACACGGTTATTCGCATCAACGGTTAATGGAAATTTCGGTCAAAATTCCTGAATTGGAATCTGGGACATGGGGGCGACGACAATGTAAGCGAGTTCGGAGATGTCGACATATTCTTTCAATGTTGTGTTAGTGTGAGTTCAATTTCGTTTGACATGGTAGTAGAGGCACAATGTGATGAAATGGACAATTTGTAGTGATGAATCAAACGGCGGAAAGTTGTGATGTGAAGCAAGTAAAGTAAATAACAACAAACTAATAGATACAACAGAGTCTTATAACTTATTGATTGTCGATAAATAAAGTAAAGCAATTATTTGAATGTTGTTGGATTGATAACAACCGATGGTATATGACCATTGGATGAACAAGGTGATAATAAATTATGACTACATCGATTTAACGATCGCGTATCACCAACTATGTGTGACATCTATGAGATACTTCTTACATGTATTCTAAGAACCATAGCTGGGTAGGGTTGAAATGTTACAAAAATGGCGGTAGTGTCCGGTTTGGCGTTGACTCGCCGGCGGTGGACGATGAAGGGCACGGTGAATGCCAGCCGGCGTGGTGGTGGAATACACGTGGCGCACGTGCAGTGAGTGGCGGAGTTCTGATCTCCACTGGTCAGCTGCTGCATTCAATTATTGAGCGAGAGGAGCAGAGAGAATCCAATAGGCTGTAAGTTGTCAGTGATGTCACTGACAACAATTGACCAGATAGTTTTTCTTTTATTGTAAAATGACACTTGCTTCCGCGCATATTCTGCATTCATTGGTAAAAGCTTTCAGTTTTATCGTGTAAAGGAGGGGAAAAAAGGCCTCTTAAATTTGGTGAAAGTAGAGAAGAAGAGTTTAGGATGTAGCAAAAATCAAGATTTGAACTCCAGGAGTTGAAATCTTATATCAATTTCGTTGTTTGGTTCATCAACTGATGGATCGGACTTCGTTTGCAGACAACACATCGTTATCGTTAACAAATTACTAAAAAAAAAAATTGATAAAATCCTAACGAAATACTCCTTAAAATACACATGAATCGTTCTAGATGTTTATTATGATTCAGATACTCATTATAAACCATCGATAATGCTACGTATTGTTAGCACTTGGAATCTACTGGCTCTCTGCCATAAAAATTTCGATAAAAAAGTTGATGACATAGTACAGTTTTCCAGTCAGTTATGGAACCCTAAACGCACAGAGAATCCGCATACTACAACCCACCAATCAAACAATGAGATTCGGAATCTATTATTCCTGAATCCTATCTTACAAATCTGTACAAAAAAAAGATGCATTTCTAGAAACAACTTTCCATCACTTAAAACAACCAACTTGGAGTTTCCAAAATCTCACAGCAGCAGCATCTGTAACAACCAACAGTCAACAGAAGAAGTGAGGGATTGCTTGCAGCACATGGTTACCTCCATTCAAGCAGCTGCATTGTAACCTTAAGAAAAGGGCTATATAGAACAAGCCCTCCTGGTGACTTGAACAAGCCAAGACCAAGATGTACTAAGTGGCATAAACAGTTCACTCACCAAGCTAGAGGAGAAACAAGAATACTAGTTCTTCTTCTAATCATTCCAACTGCACATGGTTCTCTTCAAAGTGGCACCTGCACGGAATCTGCAGTAATTGTACCCAGCTTCCAGTGAAAAGGTGCACAATTTCATGCAAATCCAAGATTGTGCAGCTTGTTGCAATTAGGAGTAGGCAAGACCTTATTCCAATGCCGCCTCTGCATCTCCACATGACAATACCGCCAAAGCAAGTTCTTATAGTCCTTAACCACACTACCCTCGACATCACTCCTACCCGTGCTTCCAACAGGGAAGCTCTGATCGAACCCCGGGGATCTAACATAGAACTCGACCCCATGCTTCTCGGTCTTCCTCAAGAACCGATACGATTTGGTTGGCTGCAACGAGTAAACGGGCTCTGTAAACGCCAGAGCAGCTACCAAGATGATCGCCAGAAATGGCAGAATCTGCATAAGAAAAAACCAACAACTTGTCCCTCCTCCATGATCAACATTCTCGGCGTTATGTTCAGTTTCCCTTCCTCTTGTACTCCTGTAGGGATTGTAAGCTCTGTACCCGTCGTTCCTATTGAAATACTGACCAAACACCTCGTCATCATCGTAATAGCCATTGTAACCTCTATAGCTACTTCCATTCCTCCTTGTAGGCCTTCTCGGCCTCACATTCTCTCGTTGATGGCTGCTACTGCTGCTGCTGCAACCGAACCCTCGAACCAAACCCACATGATCATACTGCCTACGAGACTCTCCATCGCTCAAACACTTGAACGCTGCACAGACTTTCTTGAACGCTTCTTCAGCCCCTGGAGCCTTGTTCTTGTCTGGATGAACTCTGAGAGATAATTTTCTGTACGACTTCCTAATCTCGTCAGGTGAACAGGATTTCCCCACGCCGAGAATCGCGTAGTAATCATTCGTCCTGTTGATCTGCCTAATCAATTGCACATTCTCCTCGCTGTCGTTCGATTTACCCGCGCTGCTGGGATTATTACTGCAGCTGCTGCTGCTGCTGCTACCACGACTATTTGCTTCGTCGCCAGAATCTAGTTTCTCGCAAGCGGCGAGGAGATAGTCAACGGAGGAGTCGCGGTTGAGGCGCTGTGCGAATCTGATGAATCTCAAGGCGCGCTGTTTGTTTCCTGCAGCGATTGCCTCTTCGGCGATGGAGATGCATCTCAGAGCTTCGTCCTTGTTGCCGTCCATCGCGTCAATGGAGTTCCAGGAGATCAAAGGACCTCCGTTCGATTTTGCTAGGTTGAGCCGCTTGGGGGATAGTCAATGAAGAGTTGAAGACGAAGTCCGCAAACGACGTCGCGTCATCGTGTCCCGCCATACCAGCAAGGCCATAGAAAAGATTCGAGTGGTTCTTCCGGTTAACGGCCGAACCAGTATTAACCCATTCATCCCTTTTTCTTTTGGATAACCAGCCAAAATTATTAGCATCTTAATAACATTGCAGGGAAGTCCATACTCCATAGGCTAAGTATCAGGCCCAAGCCCAGATACAGATTGAATAAAGCCCATCTATTAACTCGATAATATAAGCCTATTTCTCATCAACTCTCATCATCGGACATGAACGTCTGCCGTCGCCTGACCGACTCCAAGACCTCGGCGGGACGAGCCGACGGCAAACCGGAGCCGCCGCTCTTCCCCACCGTTCCGGCGGCGGTAGCAGTCTTGAGCTTCGGCTTGTTCATAGCACTCAACGGCGGCGACAGAACGCCTCTATTCACCTCTCTCAAAACCGATCTGGCCGTCACCTCCGCAGCCTTGTCCGCCATCGCCGATGCCACCCTCTTGTCTTTCGGCGAAAGAAACCCAACGCCCCCGCCGCCGCCATAGCCGCTCGGGCCGGCGGCTTCGGACGCGGCGGCGGACTTGGCCTTGGCTGCTTCGTACCTCTGCATGTCGTAGGCGAGCTCCTTCTGCAGCTGCTTGTCGGCGATCAGGATCTCGTCGATCTCGTTCTTGTAGTCTTTCAGGAGCACGCGGAGGCACTCCATCAGGGAGCCGATGAGCGGGCTGTTCTTGCTCTCCAGCAGCCGCTTGAGCTCGATGAAGATTGGAATCGTGTTCTGGATCAAGCTCTTCCTTATGGCTTGCGTTATCGCCCTGCCTTTTGCGGACAGCCCGTTGCCGTCCCCTCCGCCGCCTTCCTCCTCGCCGGCTTCGCCGGCGTCGGCCGCTGAACCGCGGGCGGGTTGGATTCTGATCTCTTTGCAGGCCAGCACTTGGAAAGCGTCCTATTTCAAGAAAAAAGGGGGAAAACCTCATTCCCAATTTCAACGAAATTTAAATTTACGCGCGAATTATTTATAGTTAGGTTTATTTATTTTTACCTGAAGAACAGCCTGTCCGGTGACATCTTCTAGCTTGAGCATTCCATCAGAAGCAGCAGCGAGAATCTCAGAGCACAGTTTCGCAAATGTCGCCAGGAGACGCTCCGGAGCCATCTGTTTGAGCAGGGAAACATATATGTGCATTCTTTTCGACCTCGAACTCTCATCATTCCCCCTTACAAGAGCAAACAAGAACACGAGATTGACTTGAATCCCAAGGGAACAATTTCTCAATGACATAAAAAAAGATGTTGATGACACTTGACTGAGTTCTATAAACTAGCTTTGTAACTAACCTAATGGAGAACTGGCGATCTTCGGTTCGAGTGTTCTTAGACCCGGTGTGTGCATTGCAGTCATTCAGCACAAAGACGGCTTCCACGAAGCTGTTGTAAGCTAGCAGTGGGGCCTTGACTGCAAGTAGACAGAAATGATAACCCAATTAGTCAAATCTTGTAGCAATGTATATAGATTGAAATTTGATGAGAAGGTGTAAAGGGCAATGACCTTTCAGAATGTTCCCGAATAGGAAGTCAGCTAATTGTCTAATCTTCTCCGAGTCGTCGACAAGAGCCAGGAGGAATCTTTGGAACAGCACTCCTCTCCACTTGACATAGTCCCTCTATGTAAGAAAGTTCGTAACTTCTTTGTCAAGATAGCCAGCAACTCAAGAAATGGAATTCCAAGAAACCAACGCATGGAAGTTTGAAATCCATTCATCAAAATTGGCTGCAAGTGTTGGTGCAGATGGAATAGTGGACTCCATCTACTAATTAGTCCAAATTGACAGACTTTGTGTTTTTAACTTTGTATTAGTAAACAGGATTTATTCCAAGCAGAATTTAAGAAATAATTCCGCCAGAAATTCTATCCCAGTGAGCAATGATACTTGAATTCTCAACGGAATTGGTTACGAATAGACGGTAAAGTAGCAACCAATACCTGAAGCAATCTTGAGAGCAGAATGAACGTCTGCCGCCTCACTAGTTCACATGGGTCACGGAGGCACTTGGTGATCTTTGGTATATAACTGTGGTTTGTTATATAGAAAGAAAACAGCAAATCAGGAAGTTAAAACAGTTGTCTCAATCAGACAGAACTCAGGTATAAGTGATTCTCTATGTGGCCTTACCAGTCCACCAGAGCGGTATAGTGAACACAGAAGTCTGCCATTGTAACCACGAGATTGTTGCGAAGTGGTGCAAGATCACTTTTCTCGAGCTCCTGCATAACATGAGATAGTGAAGTTAGCTATAGTTGAAACCCCCATCTGACACAAGAGCAACTGGCATTAAACATAAGGTGAAGGTTTACTGCCACATTAGTCAATCCTTTATCTAGACCTAGGAAAAGTCTAGCATGACAATAGAAAACCAAGAATGAGAGAGAAAGAGAGCTGTATTGGGGTTAGGGCTACCAAACCTGCACAAACAGAGGTATATAGTTCTTTGCAAGTTTCCCGTCTGCTAAGCAAATCTTCCCCATTGTCAGCCACGCCTGAATGTACAAAGATGGGGCTGTCTCTTTAACTGGGACCGGAGGTCCAGGGAGTTTCCTCAACTTGGGATCAGAATTTCCTGAAGTGATGATTGTGTACAGTAAAGGGATTACATCGTTCATATCAGCTGAAGGACAAACAAGAACCAGAGATCCTATGGTCTGAACTGCATTCACTGTTTCTGCCAGTAGTCTGGAAGCCGCTGCTGCTCTCTTGCTCTTTCTAATTCCACTTTTAGGTGGTGTGAAGAAGCTGTTTTCATTGGTGGCTTTCGAATTTTCGTCCATGTACTGCTCGAGTATCTTGCAAGCCTTTGAAAGAACTTGTTGAACCCATTTGCCAACAAGTGTCTCTGCCTCAGCAGGATCTGCAGCTTTCCGTTTGCATATTGTTTTCAGGGCTTTAACATGTGCATTAACCTAGTATCATCATAGTCAGACATTTTTTATTGAGTGAAGTTAGCAAATAACTAAGAAGATTGATCATCAACATAAGATTATTTATCTTTAGAATCTGCAATAAGAATTGTTAGAAGTACCTCGGTTGAGTGCATATTGAAGTCCTGAATTCGTTTGAGCAGGTTATGAGCTAGATCAGCAGCAGGATCAGGAGGCAGCTCCAAAGAAACGTTAGAGATTGTTTGCAGTAGAAAAACGCGATCTCCTGCCCATGCAACAGAATCGGAATGTATACTTCCTTCATCACGAGTCAAATCTTCTTCAGGATCAAATTCGTTGGTTGCTCCAAACTTGTCAAGGAGCTGCCAATGGTGATGGAGAAACTTCCAGTCAACTGCTTCGGAAAGGTGTGCTGACACCTCAGACAAAAGAAGCCATGCACCAGGTGGAGCTGTCCACTTCTCTATTGGCATTAAATGGCTCTGCCAGTTAGACTCTGAAGTTCTTATGATATTCTGTAGTGAACTAGCAATCACAGGCTTGAGTCGTTTCTTCTTCCCTAGACTACTGCAGATTTTCTTCACCCAAGGTGTCACCTCCCCATCGTAGATGGTTTTCAGAATAAATAGAAATCCATCTGGAAATAGCAGCTCCATCTTTCTTTCTACTCCCATTTTGTGTGACTTAGAATGGGATAAACTGGAAGCATTATGTAGCCTGGGATCACTTCCTGCTTTTGAGACACGGTCCAGGACTAGTTCCAGGAACAAGTTCTCACACTCTTCTTGAATGCTAGTCTCGTTATCTGCTATTAATCGAGGTACAGAATGCAGCCACTCAGTAATCACAATTTCATCTGAATATGTTCTGAAGGCCTACAGACAGTGGTAGAAAGCAAGATCAGAATCATCAAGCACATGACTTGAAAAGGGGATAGAGATCAAGTCTTTAGACAGCATGCAGTACATGATGCTCTAACACAGATAATGATAGCTTATGCCTGATGAGAACTTGGGCAGAAATTTAAAGAACTCTTCCTAGAAAAGGTATCTTGTTTTGTGTCACAATGTGATAATATTCATCCATATGAAGATTTATGGTGCTTGTGTATTGTTACAACTCAATCAAGATTCTTGCTACGATTTGTGTAGGAAAAATGGAAAATAGGTTGTCAAGGTTTATAAAGGTGATGTTCAATATACAAGTACAATAATTATCGGAACCAACCTGTGACAGAGCTGATATTGCTGCTTTGCGTATGCTGACAAGTGGATCCGAGCAAGCCATTCCCATAGTCTTGAGCACGATTCCATCCAAATTGCCAGCAAAAATAGCAGTCAACTTGCTAACTAGAAGAAGTGCAGCTCTCCTAACGTTTGCTTTCTCATCCATACAGCGCCTTCTCAACATATCATCGATCCGACTCTCACCCTTGTTTACATTATCTTCACCAAACCCCATGGCTTGTCTTAGAACAGCATGATTCCTATCATCAGATGACAGAATTCCCACCAACTGTGCCAAATTCGACAACCCACGAGCTCTAGTTAGAGCACTTGAATCAGAACAACGCTGGATCAATGCCTCAAGACACTTGAATCCCCAGCTACCTTCCGATTCGCCATTCGTGCGCAACCCAAATGGATCTTTCAACAGCAGTAATAGATTCAACATCAAGTCCACCGCCAAGATTCTAAGATTAGCCTTCCCTTCGCTCATCTTCACAACATACTCCACAAACACGATTTGATCATTCAACTCCATAACCTTCACAATATCGACTATGGCATCCACCGCTAGCCCTCGGGGCTCGGCCTTGTCCGGCGCCTTCCTCACCAGATAACGTGGTAAATTCACACAAGCCTTGTTCACACCTTCGCTTCTTCTAGCTAAACCCGTCACCAAATTCTTCACGAAGGCTAAGGCAAAGCTCCTAGCGTGGGACTTCGCAGCCAGTATCAACGGCGTCAACGACTTCAGCAATTCAGCTGCTGTCTCCCCTTCTTCACCATGCTCGGGTTTCAACACCCGGTTCAAAATCCTCGAGCACAAATTTTCCAATCCATTAGAGCTACCTGAAGAATTACCTAATGTTTCCGATGCTAAAACAGGAATCTCCACTACAGTCTGAACCAGAGACTTCAAACTATCGGGGAACCTACTCAAATGAATCAAATCCAAAACTGAACCCAAATTCTCGAGAACGCTGTAGAACAATTTTGCATTAGTTACCTGGCTCTCCCCGCCGCCGCCGCCATCTTCATCATCAGCATTACAGACATTTTTACCTCTATTATTCCTCCCTCCCCGACCCTTCTTCCTCTTCAAACCCTGAGATCCACCCGCCCGACCCGATGAGGAAGACGGGTCCTCCCCTTGCACGGCTGGCGGCGGGGACTTGAGCGCGCGCCGGAGGGAGCGAAGGAGAGAAAGAAACGACATCGGGTTGAAGAGAGTGAATACAGGGGAGTTAGGGCAAAGGAGGAGGGAGAGATAGGCTTGGGATGACAAGAGGGAGATGTAGATGGGGCCGGAGTCCATAGCGGAGGTGAGAGGCGGGAGGAGAGAAGCCGGCGAGAGCGATTTGGACGAAAGGCGGGAGAAGAATTGGTCGAGTAGGTCGACATCGCCGGCGTCCAGAATGGATTGGAGGTCGAGGAGAGTCGCACTTGAGAGCGGCGGCGAGGGAGTTTGGCTGCTGCTGTTGCTGTCTCGAGCTTCTTCAACGTCGGCGACGATTCGCGAGAGGAGCTCCTGCTCTTCTTCCATGGCGGGAGTGGCTCGCCGCAGCGGCGAGAGACACAGTCAATGAGTTTTTCCGCGGTCGATTTTTCGAGTTCTTCTTCCTCGTCGTCACTCGATTGAGAGCCCCTCCATTTCCTAGCGGAAAGTTCCGAACGTTTTTGGGGATTTTCCCGCTCAAGTTTTGGGGAGATTGTTCAGAAAGAGAGGCGAATCAGGAAGAAGACAAAGCCATCTCGGCAAACAAATATTGGGCTGGGTTGAGTGCTACTGAGCCACAGGCCCAATCATTGATCTATGCCGATTTACCGTTTGGTTGGGAATTAATCGGGGTGCTGCATATTATATCGGAAAAGTGTTTTATAAAGTATTTTGTATTAATTTATAATTTAATTGTGATTCAATTGTTTTATAATGCTAAAATCACCTATAGTTTGGAGTTGGTGTCAATATTTTCTGTCTGACAGGACATTATGGTGCAGTTTCTATAACATTTCTAGTCGACCATGGAAATGTTCTCCTAAATCCTAATCACTCCTTCAAAGAAGGTGACTTCCATCAGGAACAAAATTCTCTTAGAGGTCGTTTAAAAGTTCGCAATTATTTTTGTGATATTATTACTATACTTGTATTTATTAAAATGCATTGTTTTTTTAAAAAAAATTTAGCAATCAAAATTCATGGATTGTTATTGTGATGTGACAAAAAGTATCAATCAAAAAAATTTGTGATTCTTATATCGCAATTTTTAGCTGAGATTGTTGAAATAATTAAATCAGAATTATTTTTATCTCAACATTTAACTGATATGACATACATAATCATACGTTATATTTTGCAATGCATCAAATTCGACTATATGTATAACAATATCTCTATTTAACAATCAAACAATCACAACTTGAAGCCAAAATTACTTGCTTTCACAAATGTATCAGATTAGATTGATGGGACATTGGGACTTCTAAACTAGAATGCAATCATATGAACTATAATTCTCCATCTCTCCTTTTCCTTGGATTTTTTCTCTTTTCCTTTTCAACTCTTCTTGATGTGGGTTAACTGGTTTCTCTCCCTCTCCTGCTTGGGAGGCATAGAATAAACTAACTACTAGTCTACTACAGAACCCATTCTTGCTTGCTCCTGCCTACAAATACAACCCTAATGCCGAAAAAAATGACAGGAGGTAGCTGGTTGCCAGGAAGACTTTTTTCACACAAACTTCGCAATTAGCAAGGCGTAAACCTCCCGGATTAAATCACACTGCCTTCCTCTCTTAGGGCTCGATTTTCTCCAACATGTGTCGCCAGAGAAGAGAGTTAGAAGGCCTGTCGATACCCGCAACACATTGGGATTCAGCAGCCATGGAAGCTGCCTGGCTGAGATGGCGCGATTGTAATCGAGAACCCCCTGTGTAGAGCTGCCAGTGCCACCATTGAACTAGCTGAGCAAGAATCTGAAAATGTCGCTCAGAGTGACAATGCCTTCGACCCGTTTGCTCCCAGCCTCTACTATGATCACTTGCCTTACACCTGAAAGCAAATGGTAGTGAAAGGGCTTCAATCACAATGAAGGCGAACAGCTCAACTTTGATGTGCCAGGGACAAGGCACTTAGATTAGTTACCTGGGTTACCAAACCGCTCCATCACTTGAAACAGTGAATCAGAGCGTAAACACATCTGGCACCTTTGGCTTCTCAACTCATATGGATAAAACGAGTCTTGCCCCAATTGCAAGGCCTACGGATAGAAGAATTTGAGCGATGGTGCTTTTGGAGTAATCTTTATTGAACATATCAGGAAATGAAAGAGATAAATTTTACCTGGTGGATGGTCATTTCGTTAAGATTAATGTGTGTGTAAACTCTATCCTTTGCCAAAGCAGTTATATCACTGGAATAAGAAAAAGCAAGTACTTAGGGTAAGTCACTCGAAGGGTCTTGAGAAGAAACAAATCAACAGTGCACAACAATGTAAACACCATTACCTCCGACAATATATATCAAGCAATGAATCATTATCGTCAACTATTGGTATTGAACTTACTTGAGCTGCAAAGATAAGGCAATAAGAGGTCAGAAGAAACAGAGCTACTAATCATGGTGAGACAAGTAGGCCATCCCACACGATCAGTATACTCAAGCAAATAAACAAACACATAGCAGATAATTGTAAGGAAAGTAGCCAAACCATAGACAACGGGTGAGTAAAAGTCAACAACTGAAACAAACACGATTTCAATCTAACAATTCATACACCCCCAACAGTCACGTCCCGAAATTCTTCCATATATTGAACAAACTATCAACCAACTCGTCAATATTTTTTATATTACTAAATGATTCATTCTCATCAACTCGACTTTTCCTAAAATTTAACAGAGCACACATGTACAGAAGATACTACTGCTACACAACTTAACCGGAACAAATAGGACTTGGTGGACTTCCATATTGACTAGTTTAGGTTCCTTCAGTTCTGTGTATTTTCAGAACAGAAACGTACCATGAATTAATAAGTTTAAAGCGGCACTAAGGGAAGCACTTGGTCTTAACATTGCCAAAGGCCGTCCATTCGATTCCCCTATCTTTGGTACCCAAGTGCCCAATGGAATCGAACAGATGGGCAATTGCAGTACAGGTAAGGAGCCAGAAACATGCCTGAAGTACCTGAAAATACCTGGAAATTAATATCCATCGGTTAGTTATAAAAAAAGCATGCACCATCATAGCAGCTAAAACAAAAGCCTTACATTTCAAAATTCCTGACAGCGAAGCAAGATGAAGTAGCTGGGGAAATGATCCATCATCTGATGATGAATGGATTATGGGGACTGTGCACACATCGTTTTGCAATATTTTCAGAGCAACCTCTTTCAAGTTGTCGTATGGTCCAGCCTGTAAAATCAAAATCTCAAAATCAACACTTCACAACAAAGTAAGCAAGAAATTTCTTATTTAAATGACACATTTCTATTAACAATGCAATAGATCTCACTCACATAGATTAGTTGTCTAGTAACAGCTCTCCCTTGGCCATCAAATTGTCTATTAAGATATGCTTTTCCTTCTTTCCAAGCAGCTATTGTATGTGTATCAAGTTCTTCCTCAGTCAAATTTGACCCGTGATTGCCAAGCTTTTATTGAAACATGGACACAAAAAGTAGACAGCAGAGAACCCATCAGGACTCCGTTAAAATATGGAAATAGCAGCTACTAGACACAAAATGTAAGAATAAATGAGATAGTCACCTAATTCCGAAGACCAATTTTGTTTCAGCATTGATTCAAACAGAAGCCTCAAACACTAACAAACTTATAGAACTAGCAACTAAATGGATCACAGTACTAGTCATGTTTAAGCCTTCAATAGTAAATACTGCTAGTATCTGTACTCATCAGACCATTTTCAGAATAAAAATATGGCCTTGCATGCATACCTCTCGCAATATTAAGATGAAGTCCAAAGCACTCAGCACTCCAACAAACTGGCCCCGGCTGAAGTCCCAAAGAGGAGCCATCGGGACTCCCTAGAGAAAATGGTATAAGTGATAAGTCATAATTTGTCAAGAAAACGAATCAAGGCAAGATCATTCTTTTTGCATTGGCCTTGATCATGTACGCACCAGAAAGAAATTCAAATCATCAAGAGGCAACAAAATTTTGAACTATGCAATCCAAATGACATTGAACTGGATTTTAATTTCTACAATTAGTTGGAAGATCCAAAAGGACGAATCACTCACCTGCTCGTATAAGATATGAAAAGCTTGCTTCACTGGTAAGTCGACATCCAATGCAACAACCTGTAAGCTACATCTACTGATTATATGAAGAGAAAGAAGCTTGAAATCATCAAGCTCAGAAGGAATGGGGGAAATCAAGGAAAGAGCGAAAGGTCATCATAGGTATTTCCTAACCTTGCTAATAAGAAAAGGGGGACATCAAGGAAAGATGAAGGAATCATATTGAGTGATAATAGGGTATATCTAACCTTGCCCGACTTTGGAAGTAACTCATACGCAGTTTGTGTAGACAAAAACACGGAAATACGATGACGAGAGGCCTGCACACCGGCCTCTGATACTGTTGGCAAAACCTCATTCAAGGTACCATCAGAGACATGGACCTGCATTTTTCATTTACTCAGTAAGATTCCATGTCCAACCATTGCCAGAATGAATATACAAGGAAGTCAAGGAAGCCAATAATCCAGCGAATTTCAATGGGGAAATTATAATACTAGCAAGGAACTGGTAAATGTAGTGGTTCCACATAAATGATTTTCAACTGAAAAAGGTAGCCAACTCACAACACGCCTAAAGTGCTCATTGTCCAACTCCATGTTTGCATGTAACTCTGAACCTGCTGTGGGATTGTGATTGGCATCCATTGGAAAGAGGAGGGTGTTTACTAGGCCATATTCACTTGTTACCCAAGATTGGTGCTCATCATACCGCCACTCCCCATCAACGTAAAACTTGTACTGCATGATGCAACCACCATAAGTAAAGCTATATTACATATCATATGATAACAAACACACTAAAATACTAAAAACCTCGTCATCAAGATAAATAGCTATCAAAATCAGGCATCTGCAACAAGTTGTGCAATCTGAAATTCACAGTAAACTATTTAAATTCCCATTCAGACCGAGCCCAGGAGCTTATTCCATCAACTACTATACCAATAAAATTGGGAGCAACAAGGAGTAACACATAATCTGCTGCCTTGGATTGCACAATTGCATTAGCAAGTAGCCTTCCTTCATTGTACCATCCTTAAAGCAAAACAAGAGAGGAAACTGAAGCTATTCCATTCACTAAGCTCACACGTGTCGGCAAAAGCATAAATAACTACGAATTCCCAGGAGAAACTTGAAACTACATAACAAAAATTGAAAAACTGAAGCACAGACCAACTCACCAGGTGGTAACCAGGAGTTATGCTGCAAATTGCTTGGAACACTCTAGGACAACCTTCAACAGGAGCCATGGCAACGAGCTCGCCCCATCTTCAGAAAGAGACAAAGCCATCAATTAAGACCATTCTCCCAATAAACCCAAACCCAGAAAATCATTAAAAAATGTAACCAAGTGAATAGGAAGGCAAGCGCTTGCGGAAAAAGGAAAGTAAAATAGGAGCAGAATTCTAAGCATTATATATCAATCATCACCCGTTAAAAGAACCAGTGATTAATACGCTTCGACCACCATGAGGCCACACAAACCGCATCAACACCGTCCCTGCTGCAACTCCACCGCCGGCTTCCCGCCCGGAATCCATCCGCGAAGCAAACATCCAAACTTCAATCGAAAGTCAAGCCGTCGAATTCTTTTCCACACCGTGCCCCTTCAATTCAATCACTGCAAGCAAAACCAAGAAAAAGGAAAGAAGTGCAATGGAAATGAAATTTTCAGCCACTGACAATTTGCAGCAACGCCGTGGGCTGCGAAGAAGCTTACCCCAAGCGTGAGAGCTGAAGGAGCTTCGAGAAATGGACACGGAAATGGAAATGCAATGCGCTGAATGTGAGTAGGAATTGGAGGGGTAGAATAAACAATCGGGAACCCTAAAACAGAAAAGAAGGAGGATGCGAGACCGAACGAGAGTATCCCAAATTGGGCAGATGGAGGAGAAAAGACGAACAAGAAGAATAAGCTCAGAATCACAGAATTGCAACGCTGGTTTTTGTTGGGTTAAGATCGAGAGGAGGAGGAGAGAGAGAGGGAGAGCTCGTGAGCGATACGATCGAATCTCTCTCTATCTTTTTTTTCTCCTTTAAATTTCCCAGTTTTCTTTTTATTCGCCGAAGAAATTGAGACAAAAAATAAGCTGGAGAAGAAACAAAGGACGGGAATTCCAATAGTAAAAAGATTTGGGGCATTTTCTCATGGTCAATGACACAAATGATCACTAAATTATGAGATCATTAGCAAATTGGCCACTCAATTCAAGATTTACCATGTCTATCATCACACCGATGTTGCATTAATGATATCATACCGTCTATCTTTCAATCTTTCTTAAAATCGAGTTTCAATCGCAACACTAAGCGAGAGTCCTTTACAGGAGATTTACACTAACCAACTCTAGTCACTACGATTAAAATCGATAATTATCAAGTTGCGAGTGCAACATTACATACACTTTGAGATTATTAACAAGTTCGTCACGCGAACTTGTATAAAAGATAATTCTCACTGCATTTTTCCCCTAATAATTGTCACTTTATAATTTAGCATAAAGTAAGTAAACTTATCACTTTACTCTATGTTAAAATATGACGTTAATATAGGGTTTCATAGAGTTCCGACAAACACATTAAGTAATAGACAAAGATTTTCCATCAACAATCCTATGTAACGAGTTGCATAGATGGTGGTTGATCCAACCACGATTAAGCGAGATACATGTTGTATATGTTCCTTTTTCCAATTTGCCAATCACTAATTCTTGATATAACACTTTTTTAGATAAGGGCGAATATGTTTAATTTTTGTTGTTAGATACTAAACCCGGGACCAGGTTCAAAATTAGTGATATTATCTTGCAAACTTACCTTCACTCTTATACTTGGAGTCTTGCATATACTCTAAAGGGTATTGAGGACCTCGTATGTTCCTTTCCCTACCTACTGCATTTTCTTAGTTTGGATAGTTTGCTTGTTGTGATGTACTTGGCTCAAAGGGCAAAATACTCGGAACATAAAAAGGCAAGTATGATGGTGTCACATTACTTCAACAACCTCATCTCACCAAAACAAAACAAAATCGAATACACATAACACTGTACATCCCATCTTCCTTTAGCTGCAATTCAACGTGTATACTTCCTAGCTTAGACTTCAGAGTTCAGACACTCCATCTCTAATCTTTCAGCATGGCATCTGCGGACAAAGCAAAAACAAAAAGCAACAGATTCACATGAGAGAGGGTGAGAGACCAAGACAATAAGACAATTCATAACGCAAGATGCCCATTTTGCAGGGTCGAAGTAATTGAAATCAGGATAAAAGCCTGCAGCTCGCAGCGTCACAGATAGTTAACCACAGAGCAATCCATTAAACACAAGTTTCACTGGAGCCTGGAAGCATGAAGATTTGAGTTAAGCTGCTGGTTAACACTAACTATCCTCTTTTGATCATCTGCATAACATAACTGTTATCGGATCAAAGTATCAGTCAGGACATCAGCAAATGAGTATAGGGGTAGTAGGTCTCATTATAGAATTTTGCTCAATTTGGTCTCACTAATTTCCCTAACCAGCAGCGAATGCACCATCCCAGCTCGAGTATGGCATCTCAGAGTGATAGGAAATCGAACTAAGAAGCTAGTTCGTTTCCGTAACTAACTAACTAACTAACTAACAGGAGCTACATTCGTCATGCCATAGCCTAAATGAACCGGACAAGTATAGATATGATTATATGAAGATAAGAACTGTGCACTGCAGTTGTGTTGAATATGATCTATAGATTGGCTCAAATCATGAGAAGATGTTATCTGCAACCACAGTTGTAGAAGTAATCTACCTTGATCCTCAATCAGCTTAGTAAGTCTACCCTTTTCTTCCGCAAAAGCCTACAGTTTTCCTACTTCTTCAGTCCTAAGATCTGCCAGTTCCTTCTCTCCTGCACCATCAATAACACACAAATGTAAGAAACATGCTAAGAAACCAAGCCCCTAAGAAAACATGAACACGAGAGGCATCATCAATGTCCTGGTGGGTGATATCAGATTACAACACCAGTCTCTTCTATGCCTTTCTTATACAAAAACTTGGTCCCCTAAACTCCCATGAAAGACTCGGAAAAACGATGTGGAATTCCACAACACAACACTGATCTTTCTCTTAACCACCATTCCAAGAATAGAATTGTCAACCAACCCTGCACCACCATATAAACCATGAATGGAATTGAAATTCACATTCATTTTCCCCATACTCTATCACCATTCCATGCATTTTCTGCACCGATCTCATCCAAAAGGGAACTCGGAAGGAGTAAAAAAAAAATACCCAGATGCCCTATAGTCTGAATTCGCGCGGAATTGAATCAGATACCACTCTATAATTTTCCGACGGTGGAGACAGTGAGAGAGAAGGGGGAAGAAGGGTATACCTGAGGAATTGGATTACACGGATTTGACATTTTGGATGAAGGCAGCGGAACAGAGGATGGAAGCAACGAAGGTGAAGATGCCGAGACCTATCATTAGAGAGATCCCAGCTGCCATCAAATCTAGCATGCTCTGCAGACTCAAACCCATCATAATCCACATCGTCGCCGTTCCCGCAAAAAATATATAATATTACTCTTTCCCTTTTCCTCCTTTCTTTTGCTCCGACGGAAGTATCCGGTGATTTAATTTTTTTCTTCCTTCTTTCAAGCGGGGCATTCGTCAGTACACGACTTCGAATCGCTGCTATTTTTCTATCTGGGAAGGCGGTGGAAAGACGATGGAAAGTGGGAGGGGAACAATAGCAGGGTGCGTGCTTATCTTGCGTGCCTAAAGTCTAAAATATATATTATTGATCCGATTAGTACCGACTGTTCTAAGAAAATATTCATAATAAAATTTTCTAACAAATTGTGACAGTAAAAAATTAGGCAAAATTCACTCGTATAGTAATAACTTACACATCTGTGACAAATATAATAATAACTATCCGAAAACACAAAATAGTCAATTTCGACCATTTTGTTAACGGCGTAAGTTGACGGTATGACTGAACTAACGAAAGATTCTGAGAGAGCTTAAACCAAAATTCTCAAACCATCGTCTTCTACAGGCTACAACCACCACACCTCCGCGAATCCACTTTCTCCGACCCGAGAGACCTTTCTGATGCTTCAAACCGTCAATAATTATGGATCTATTTCGCTGTCGTCGTCATTCCCTTTCTTCAGCTTCCAAGAACCCAATTTCTAAATGCTTCTCAAACTTCACACCTCAAGATACTGTCATGGGATGTCAACAATAACCGCAATTAGTTCCCCAAGCTCAAATGAGAGAGCTAGAGAGCTGCATTGTTACTCACGACTACCCCAGTTTGGTCGACCCTCACGTCAAATCTGAAACGCGAGAACTTCCGCACCATCACTCTAACTCCTGCCCAGAAGGTGTAAGCCACGCTGGTGGCGAGGGAGCAGCCGGGCAACGGCGAACCGAACCCATCAGATCCCAGTTGCGCTTCTCTTCTTCCCTGGAAGCACAATCGATTTCGTGAAGGAGCTGGAGCAGACCCATCAGATCCCAGTTGCGCTTCTCTTCTTCATGGCAGCAGCAACGTTGCCGTCGACGGAGACATCTGAGGCCAGACCAGTGTCTTTGTTCCTTGAGATTCCAGATTCATCAATCCTGGGTTTTATGGGCAATCTGGGTTTTTCTTAGATCTGATTATGGGTTTCAGATAGAAGCATATCAATAAAAGAGGGGAAGGAGCACAGTTCTATTCAGATGGAGGGGTTGGTTTTAGGGGTGTCAGTTCGGGTCGGGTTCGGTTATCCAAACCGAAACCCAAAAAAATCCGAAACCGAAAATCACTAAAACCGAACCCGATAAGGACTTGCGAGTTTCGGTTACCCGAAACCCGAAAAATTCCTTATCGGGTTCGGATTCGGTTAAAGCAAAACCAAAACCCGAACGCCTAAAAATACGGGTTGAGTTCTATTCATTGGAGGTTTTTAGCCGGAACCCAAAAAACCTATAAGTAAAACCGAACCCGAAACCAAAAACTCGAAACTCGAAACGAACCCGAACCCGAAAAATCGAAAATGTATATAATCGGGTCGGTTATCTGGTAAACCTAAAAAACCGAACCCGAATGGACACCCCTAGTTGGTTGTTGGAGGGCTGCGTTGATTGGGAATGGTTTGTCGATCGGTAATAATGGTGGAGGGATTCATCATCGGAGATGTGTGGTGATTAGACAAACGTTTCGTGATCTGTCCCTACCCGCCTCTGATTTCCAGCACCATCCGTTTGTGTGTCTATCTCCCTCTCCGTCACGGAGAACTCACGACTAAACTGGAAATCTTTTTTGCCCCCCAAATATCTTATCCTCAGGAACGGATCAGGTCAGTAACCTTATGGTGAGTAACCATGAGTAACCTGTCCACATCAGCATGACATCAGCATCCTTCTCTCTCTTGGAAAGCCTTTAATTTTTCCCTCCTTAATCTTTGACGGACGATTTCTCATTCGTTTTAAGTGGATTTTTTTTGCATAGTTAGATCAGATTAATTGTGCTCTTCAAAATGATATCCACTTTGATATATTTTTCAAACCAAAAAAAAAAAAAATTGAACCATTTTTTACCAATCTATACCATATGGTATTGACTGGTATTAAAATAAGAGCATACATATGGTTTGAAAAGCGTAGCATGGTGGTATGAAAAAACAAAGACTGTAGGATGATTGAATACATGATAGTAGAAGTATATTAACTATCATTTACGACTTTTAACCTTATGTACCATAAGATACCACCCCGTACCAGGGTGGTATTGTATGGTATTGTGTTGTATTTTTTGTTCCTGTAATTTGTTCACCCAGAAATTTGTAGATCCAATAGATCATGATGAACTCGTTCCTTATGTGCAAACGTTTTAAAAAATGAATTAAAAATGAAGAAAATATCATATGGTATGCAGTTGGTACCGAGAGGCAAGAAAAAAAAATTCTCAAAAAATATTGAAAATGGATTTCATTTTGTAGAGCACAACAAACTCGTTCCATTTGTGCAAAAAAAAAAATTAAAATCCAAGTTAAAACGAAGAAGATATGAGACGATTAAGAAAGCTAGAAAAAATAAAAATGACATTTAATTCTACATCCTTAAATCTGAATTTTCTAAATGAAGGGCCCATATTTAGTTATTAATGGATGCATAACCCATGGTTATGCACCCTATCTTGAGCCCTTATACTCCCCTTCATATTTATCCTGATAATAACAAAAGGGAAGTGGTCTGAGTTTAGCTTACTAAGGTTGTTTCTTGGAGGCTGCATAGTTGATAGCTCCATTACTCAATTGCTTGGTGATATACGAAATTATCAAGCAAAGTCATCTTGGATTTCATGTTAAGTTCATATTCTGGGGATGTGTTAGAAACAAAGTTTCTAACGGGATTCGTATTGGGTGATATTTGGGAATTTAGGGATTGAGAAGATAGAATTAGGGATTTGGGAGAAGAATTGGGGGAGAATTGAAGAGAATGGCCGGCGGCCGGATTAGGAAGAGAAGTTGAGAGGATTTGGGAGAGAATAGGGTTTAGGGATTTTCTTCATATTCTTCTTGACTGATTACTAATGAATCACAAAGTACATATTTATATAGGAAATACCGGAAAATCCTAATAATAAACCTAATTCTATTAAATGACTACTAACCATATTTAATAAAACCTAATAATAATGATAATGATATAAAAACTCGTTTTCCTTAGAAAACGTGTTTCTAACATCCGATCCCCCTTGAAACCAACCTTGCCCTCAAGGTTGATCAACTCAACCCATTTCTTCATGTCTACCGTGCAATCCACGCCTTGCATCCATTTCTTGCGCTTTCTTTTCTTCCAATTATGTTCTACTACTCGAACGTATCTCACGCCAACAACTCCAAATTCAATTACTTCTTCCTCATCCATGTGGTTTGCGTCGTAAGCATGGCCTATTGACTGTCCACCCCCTTTTTCAAAATCCACCAAGTAAGAATTGGGGTGCTCACCTAAGCCCACAAATTCTTCTTCCTTCATATTCAAACCGACACTTTGTAAAAGAGATTCCATAGGGCTTATATGAGGCCCATCTTCATTATGGAGTCTCTCTGCTTGTCTGTGTGTACGCAGCCCAGGGCCGGTTCGTGCTAGCCCGCCTCGTAGCTCTGCTCGGCCCAATGATGTGGCCTGCTACTGCTGTTGTTTTCGCACCAAGGAGAGCCCAACACCTCTCTTCATGCGGCCCAACCTATGACCAAGGATGATGGGTCTCATCTCTTCGCTTAGGCCCACTCCGTTTTGCCTCTTCAGACCTGCGGCCCGGAGGTTTCGGCCCAACGAACAAAGCTGTTGTTGTGGTGTTACGCGGTTGGAGGCCACCCTAGGGTTTGAGCGTAAGGAAGCAATGTCGCCGCCTGCTCTCACCGTCTCTGCCTTCCGCGCCGCCGCCGCGTAGCGCGGCCTCCTCCCCGCCTCGGCCAGCCCCGTCGAGCGAGCCGTTCCCCGCGCCGCCACCTGCTGCTTTGGACGCCGCAGCGCGCCGCGCGGCCTCCGTCCCGCCTCGGCCAGCCTCGTCGAGCGGCTCCAGCTCCGTCCTTGCTGCGGCCTCGTCTTCCTTCCTTGCCGCGGCGCCGCGCGCCGCTTTCTCCTTCCAATAGCCCACAATCTGCCACATCTTTTCTTGCTTCTGAGCCCACGTCAGCTCCGTATATCGGTTGAACTTATCAGTTTCGATTTGGTAGGAAGCTGTCCCTGAGAGAGTTGTGATGAACTCAGGTCTTCGACCATGGTTCTGATACCAGATGTTAGAAACAAAGTTTCTAACGGGATTCGTATTGGGTGGTATTTGGGAATTTAGGGATTGCGAAGATAGAATTAGGGATTTGGGAGAAGAATTGGGGGAGAATTGAAGAGAATGGCCGGCGGCCGGATTAGGAAGAGAGTTGAAAGGATTTGGGAGAGAATAGGGTTTAGGGATTTTCTTCATATACTTCTTGACTGATTACTAATGAATCACAAAGTACATATTTATATAGGAAATACCGGAAAATCCTAATAATAAACCTAATTCTATTAAATGACTACTAACCATATTTAATAAAACCTAATAATAATGATAATGATATAGAAACTCGTTTTCCTTTCTAACAGGATGAAATGAGCATATGTATATATATAATGTCCTCATCTGATATGCTTTTTCCTAATAAGGATGAGGGTAGTTGGGTTTTAGCTGCATGTTGCATGTGCTTTATTCTTGCCTCGGTGATAACAATCAAAGTACTAAAGAGCCAAGAGAAATGGATTGGAATCTCTGCCTAGTAGAATCAATCCACATTCCACAAGCATACCTCTGCAGCACTGTCGACTAGAGTTGGAAATGATGCTGGAGCCAAGAGAAAGTCAGGAAAATGTCGAAACCCTTTTATCGGTTTGGTTCTACCTTTTGGTGTTATACATATATGTACTCGGGTAGAGTTTTATGATGCATAGATGCTGCATATAAAACTGGCCATCTCAATAATATCATATAGTGTTGGTGATTCTTATGGAATGTGACTATAGGGGTGAAGATATATAGCAATTGGCTCGAGTTTACAACCAATGGAACACTTCTTCTCAATAGTTTTTTTTTATGAAGGTGAAAATTTATTAGTATCACAAATACACCAGCGGTGTACACCAGAAACAGAACAAAGAAAAAGTCAAAATCAACCCAGAACAAAAAGAAACAGGGTCCCTGCTAGTACTCAAAGAAAGAAACAAGAAGAAAAAAGGTGGAGACATAAGCCCCAGCAAGAAATCATCCCAATGGAAAACACACAGGGAGAACATTGATATAAAGTCAACTGCTGAGAAGCAGCCAAGCAAAAACAATCAAACCCAATATTCACTCTCTGGTGAAGAACCTTTTGGGCACAGTCCACCAAGATTGGAAAGCTCAGTTGAGTGATGTTAGCTTCTTGGAGCTCCCTTAAAGCTTGATCACCTGTCCAACAAGAGTAGAACTGCTGAAATTCACGCATCTCAAGTTTGCTTTTCTTCCGCTCCATCCAACTCAACAGGTCCTGCGTCACTTTATACAGTGGCTGGTATATCATCACATCGCCTGAACAAACTTGGCGTAGTTCTGTCTGTAGTTCTTTTTTTGTGATAATGGCGATAGATTAAAAACTAGCAAGTGTCTCCCGCAACCAAGTCTTGCCCTGTTCCTTCTCCACTTTGCCATGAGCCACCAGCCATTCTATCGTGCACCTCACCGCCTTATTAGCCACCACGATAGTCGTCGTAGATTTCTCTTCAAAAACTCGCTGGTTTCTTTCCAACCACACCAGCCACCAAACAGCATGGAGGATGCAAGCTTTGAACCAGCCTTTTATACAGTCTGGCGCAAGGTGAGGACAGTTTTTGATAATCGAACATATATCTCCTCCTTGAAAGAACACTCCCTGTCTGGCACGGCTGATGTGATTCCAAACCTCCTTCACAAACTGACATTCAATGAACAAATGGAAGGAGGTTTCTTCTTTGTTGTAGCAAAGGTGACATCTGCTTGCCAAAGCCCACCCTCTTTTCTTCAGATTTTCCGCCGTGAGGATGTACTATGGGCTTCAATGGTGAGAAATCCACTCCAAATTAGCTCCTAAGGTTTGTTCTTCGCACTTTCTCTCTCTAGAACTCTGTTTTAGCTCCAAAAAGTCGAATCCCCTTCCTATGGCTCGAATCTGCCTCTTTCAACCCGATTCTGGGTGAATTACGCAGAAGCACGATCGTGCTTTTCCCTTGACCATACTTTGCCCAAAACGCGCGTTTCACTTAGTGCAAAATGGGAGAAACACGAGCAATTCTGGGAAAAGCACTGGCGGTGTTTAACTAAGCAAGGTCGTGCTTTTCTCATGGGCTACCCGTGCCTTTGCTTTTCTTCAGCACTCTTCATGGTTGGCTCTTGTAGGGGTTGGCATTCGGTCGGTTCGGTTTCGACCGAACCAAAATTATGAATATCGGGTCTCTGAATTCTCCCAAACCTCAAACTGAATTCGAACCGAATTATAATTCTGTTCGGTCGGTTTAAACCAAATTATAATTCGGTTCGATTCGATTCGGATTTTCACACAAAATCGAATTTGTGAAGCTACTTGTATTTTCTCACTTTTAAATTATTTTTCATCCCTAATATAAACAATAAATATGCAATTATATGCATCATCAATGATAAAATCAAACTTTTCAACACATAAATCATAAAACATTTCAAATATTTAAGTCTAAAAACAACTACAAACATAAAAATCCACCATTTGGAGCTTGCAATTATAGTATTTCGGTTTTTCGGTCGGAAATTCGGTTCGGTCGAAAGAACCCTGATTTCCGAACTATCCATATTTTCCTTCCGAATTCTGAACCGAATAGCATTAATTCGATTTTGGTTCGGTTTAATTCGGTTTCGATTCGGTTCGGATTTATCGAACTGTTTGCCCACCCCTAGTCTCTTGTCGGTAAAAGCACTGGCAAGATGATGAAAAACACGGTCGTGCTTTTCTCGTTGCCTGCTCGCATGGTTGTCACCCCGGCCGGCGTGCCATTGGTTCAACCTGGTTCAACCTGTACCGGTCATAAAACCGGCATGACAGCACCGGTATGACCGGCATGATCGATATATGAATCTCCAAATAAAATGATCTTATTTTAGTGAATTTAATTGATAAAAAGTAATTTATTATTTATTTTATCTGTTAAAAAGTTAAATGTTGATGTTTATTTGTTGGATTCAAGTACAAATATTTAGATATTGACGTTAAATGTCGTGTTTAAATATGATAATATATAAACTATTTATAATATGAACCGGCACAAACCGGTATGTACCACCGGTTGAACCATTCCACTTGCTAAACCGGCACACTGGCATAAACCGGTTTGACAACCTTGTCTGCTCGTATTTCATCTCCAGAATCGCCAAATGATCTCCAAACGACCCGAAACTTGCGCCTAAACCTTCGTATACCCGCTAGGACCTGAAATATGACAAAATAGCACAACCTAGCATAAAATAGGTCAAAGAGCAACAAAATCGATCCGAAATGGTTAAGATATAAGTGTGCAAATATGACGTTATCATTTACTTTCCTATGGACCTTACTGTCATTTCCTCCTGCTACTCTTAACTACTTTTCTACTGCTAAGTATTGATGTCCTGATCCATTATCATTCTAAATTCGATGCCTTTAGTGCCTTGTTGCTGTGATGCAAAGACTATCTAACATATATCTAGTATTTAACAATATATATATGGTGTGTACAAGTAGAAAATTGATCTTTATAGACATTTTGTTGGCTTCTGTTATTAGTACATAATATGCTGGATATTGGGTTGCCATTAGTAATAATTATTAATTCTTTTTTACTTATATTGTGTTCTCTCGCGAAGTGTTAGCGAGGGGTCATTGCTAGTCATGCTTATGACAGGGTGTTCGAGAAAGAAACTCTATGATGCAGAATGGTTAGATTTCAACTGATGGTTATGGAGGAGGGCTGTCTAACTTTTGAATACTTATTGCTTATGTCATGAATTCTTTCTTGTAATTGAGACTAACTTGTCAGGGCTGCTCAACCACTTGCTTCAGAAGTTTCCATAAATCGCTTTGTATGTTCTTCAGATTCTTTCTTAGTTCATCTCATACAACAGTTAGCGCTACATGCAACTACCTAGCCCTCTGTTCTTTTGTAGACGTTAAGAATGTAAGATGCGTCAACAAAAGTTAAATTGATGTAGCTTCAATGATGGAACTCTTTTATTGATGCTAATCTACAGTTAATGAATCATAATCTGCAGAAAGATAAACTTCAGACTCTTTTTTTTTTTTCCAGTTTCATCCTCTTGCCGACTTTTGAAGTACTGCAGAAAGTTAAAATTCAGGCTTCTCAGTTGCTGCATTGATTTTCTCTCCCACAACCCATTTCAACTGCTTACACCCGAATCTCTCGATCAATCTCATCAGTTCTCCTTTCTTCTCATCAGCAGAAGTTAGCCAACCAAAACAAAGAAAAACCTAGTCTAAGCACAAGAACCATATCAAACATCAAGAACTCGAACTTCTACACCTTGCTACCAACATCTGCCACGGACCATGTGGAAATCACACCTGTACAGTGATTTTCCATCTGATACAGTACCAACAATGAGATAAATACAATTGAATGTCAAATAAATGGAAAAAGAAAACAATCAAACGGCTGGGGAAAACACTCGTTAGTTTCACGGTAGCTGTGTTTGGCCACCTGTTGCTCGGTCAATATTTGGGCTTGGGTTAATCAAATTCAGCCTTGCCACATAAGCTCCACGTGGTCCAATAAAAATCAGCGTCAGCGGTGCCGCAATTTTTACAGCGGCACCGTAATATTGGCCCAAAATAAAAACAAACAGGCATATGCTACAAAAGCCTAAAAAAGGACCCAACAGAGCCAGCGGCGTGACATAAAAAAAAACCGTGATGAGGAATGCTCTCTCCTCTCTCTTCCAGGGTTGTTGTCTCGCCGGTCGTCTCCTCGGTGCAATTATCACCAGCTTTCTGGCGGCCAGTCTAGCAAACCAAGGATGAGACAATAAGAGCGAATACTCGAAGGAGAAGGGTAATACCCCAAACCCGACGGACGACACGGCGGAGCTGGGTCGGGACGACAGAGTGTGGGGAATTCTGTTACCAAAAAGAAACTGCCGTCAAAGTATAAAGAAGATTAAAATTTCTGGTGCATTGTTGATGCGTAAGCGGAAACGGAAGTGGGAAAGCTGTGAGCCGACTTATTGGCTCTCAACTCCGCCCAAGCGGATCTGTCCGCGTAATGGAAATACAGGTGGGTGGCGGTTCTCACTGCCGTCATCGGCCGAGATCGAGGAGGGTAATTGCGAGGGCATTGGACAAACACTAGTTGAACGCAAGAAATCATCGGAAGCGGGTATGGGAGATTGTTCGAAAGGTGAACAATCGTCAGTCTACCAAGCGGGGCCTGATGCGGTTCTTCCTAAACTCCGGGTTGAGATTCCCCCGACGGCGGGTTTTAGCCTTGCGGGGGGCTGCACTTCAAGTGTGGGAACGACGGTGGAGGGAAGATGCTCCTCTGTCCCATCGCCGGCGGCCGACTGGAGGAATGGGTGGGATTTTGCACGGCCGAAAAAACTGCTGTGTGGTCAGCGGACTGGTACCAACCATGAGCTGGCAAACCGGTGTCGATATGGGCAAATCCCGAGAGTAGCGGGGGGCGGTTATTCCATTTTGAAAACCGAAAATCCCATCGCCAGTACAACTCTCAAAGCTATTGGGTTTCCGTGGAGTCCTTGCTTGGGGAGGGGACTTCACCTGCCCTATAAAACACCATTAACCCTATTCCATTCCCTCACTACAGTTTCAAACAAAAATAACTGTGTTTCTATAGACGTGAGCAATGCCACGACGAATAGCCCGCGTCGAGAGGAGTGCTTTCCTCCTACAACTATGGCGCATGTGACCGAAGATCAGGTGGTCCAATCCTCGCTAGAGAAAGTCCATTCCACCAAGTTTCGGCGTGCAAGGTCGGTACTGGGGAGGCTTTTCTCGACAAAAGTGTTCACGCCAAGAGAGCTGCGTGAGGCCATTGATGGCCCGTGGCAAGGGAAGGATCGAATCCAAGTTCGGGAGGCACGGTTCGGTCTGTTCGAAATTAGGCTCCCAAATGAAGCCTCCAAGAATTGGGTCCTCAAGCGCTCTCCTTGGGTGATCAATGATCGACTCCTCCATGTCCGAGCATGGGTTCCCATGCTAACCAAACAAGTGTATGATGAGATGGCAATGGCCCCGTTTCATGTACAGCTATGGGATATTGAAGAGAATTGCTGCACTCAACAATTTGGCCGCAAGGTGGCCAATGATAAGATTGGGAAGGTGCTGGAGACAAGAGTTTTCACCTGTCAGGAATCGGACCAGTGCTTTGTCAAGGTCCGTGCCCTAATCGATTTTTCCAAGCCCCTACGATCTCAGGTTTTGGCAGCCAATGAGGAGATAGGGTGCTTCTGGGTTTCGCTCAAGTACGAGCACCTCCCTAGATTTTGTTTTCGGTGTGGGAGGATTGGCCATTTTCAGCGGGAGTGTGCTTTTGATCCTCCTACGCGGAAGGAAAAATTCGGCATCCATATGTCCACTCGCAAGCGTGGAGTGAAGATCTATGCGGCGGATGAGGAGAGCCCACCTACGGTGTGGGTTAATAAGAATCTTCGTCACCCGCCAAGTGAAAACGAGGGACCCTCTCGTCGCCCTGCACATCACGTGAAGATCCGCCAGGAAGGAGGAAGCGCAGCGAAGCTGGAGCGGATGGCTGAACTGGGATCACCTGCTGGGAACGAGAAGGGTCGGGCTGAGAGACATCATGCTGGGACAGACCAACCGAGAGCGGAAAATTTTAAACCCCCTGCACAGGAGGAGATCGCGGCTCCGGTACGACGTCGGTCCAGCCCTAAGGGCTTCGTGATCACCAAACCAGTTCAACGCCGCGGCTAAGCAAAGTAACTGCTACTGTGGAGGAGGAGGCTGATAGGATACATCAGCTGAGGCCGCGTCGTCGCCTTGGGAAGCAGGGTGTGAACCCGGGGGAGATGGAAACTGCTAGGATCCCGGCTGGTTCAAGGCAACAAGTGGCGGCGGATGCCCGAGTAAAGGAAGGGGAGCGGCTGCTGGGGAGGAGGAAGGTTCGGCGTGGGGCGAGATCGGTGAAGCTCTCGTCCCCGACCGGGTGCAGCAGGCGGCACGGCGTAGAAAATTGCTACTTGAGGAGCCGGAAGATGATACCCCCCTAGCCCTTGGTTCTCGGAAGGGACGAATGGCGGCAAAGGAGAAAGGCGATGGAGAAGCTCCCCGGGCCTCGGGTGCAGTAGAGAATCGGGAAAGTTCCCGGCCGAAGGTTGCTAGCCTAGTGGTCGTTAACGACATGGCTGAGCGGGCATCGGTGCAGCAGGCGGATAGGGTGCGCAAAGGGAAGATGGTGCTGGTGGAAGAGGATTCGGAGGAATGGGAGCCGCCTTATACCAGCATGGGCTCGGGGTTGGAGGACTCCAATGCCACTCTGTCAGATGAAGCTGCTGGGCAATTTGAAGTCCAGGCTCGTGCACCTCAATCCATGGACTCGGTTTGTAAACCAGCCATGCCAGGCTGGGTCAGGCAGGCGGTCCGGGCTATTGAGGCCGGTATTGTGGCGAGTGGCCCAAATGATGAAGAGGGCCGGTTGGTGAACGAGGAGGTGATCCCTCCATCGATCAATGAATATGGTTCGAATGCTGATTTGATTGGAATAGGAGACCGGAAGCTCTCTTGGGAGGATATTATGGGGGAAGTGGAGGAAAATCCGACGCTCAAAAAATAATTCGTGTAAGAAGCTGACGAGGATACGCTGAAATCGGTGGAGGTAGCCAGCCGGGAATGGCCCCAGGCGGATAAATGAGGATGTTGGCATGGAATGTGAGAGGCATTGGACCTTCCCTCACATTCCAAACTGCTGTAGGTCTGGTTCGGTCGAATAAACCGGATCTTGTTTTCTTTTCAGAAACTGAATCTCATAGGCGTGTCGTCTCCCGGCGTTTGCAGGGACTAGGTTTTCAGATTTCAGATTGTTATTTTGTGGATGCAGTTGATGCATCTGGCGGTCTAGTTGTAGCTTGGTCACCCGAAGTTGATGCTTCGGTGTTTTTTCATTCAGATTTTGCAATTTGTACTCGGATTAATGAAAATAATCTTTCTTATGTGGTGGTGTGCGTGTACATTAGCTGTAATGAGTCTCTTCGTACTGCTCAGCTAGCCAATTAGCGCCAGATTTGTGAGGATATTCCTCTACCGTTTGTGGTGATTGGTGATTTTAATTCTACTCTCCATGCTGGGGAGAAAGATGGAGAGAACCCGTGGAGTGTGGGGCAATCTTTGGCTCTTCACAACTTTATCCATGATTTGGGGCTTCATGACCCTGGGTTCCAGGGGGATCAGTTCACCTGGACGAACAAAATAATGGGCCCTGCTTGTATTCGGGAGAGGCTGGATCGTGCCCTCTGCTCTCAATCTTGGATAGACCAGTTCCCTGAGATTGTTGTCAAACATTTCACAGACCAGGGGTCGGATCACAGGGCTTTGCTGCTCTCTGACAAGTCTTATCCCCTGTTCTGTCGCCCTCTGTTTCGATTCGATGCTCGTTGGGCGGATAACCCGGAGGTAAGGGCCATGGTTACTTATGTTTGGCACAGGGAAGAAGTGGAGGGGTCCCCGATGTTTACGCTCTGGACCCGGTT